CGCAAATAAATATTTTGATCGTTGTTTGTTATTCACAGGTATATGTTAAATTAGATTTGAAATGGGTAGGTACCTACCTACCTTCTTGCGCGGTTAACACATAGATCGTACCTACATATAGATGAGTAGAAAAAGTAAGTTGATTATTAAGTTGTAGAAGAATATGCATTTATTTTTTTCCTTTTTAGTGCATATTAATTTGTTTTGGAATAGTGTTTTTTGAAGTCGGTTTTTTTTTGTTAAAATTTTTTGTTTATTTTTTGCTTTTTAGTGAATCTGAAGTACACTTACTAATTTGTCTGAATATGGGTAGACCTAATAAACGTGCTGCTCAAATGAGACAGCGCCGTTTGAATGAAACAAAGGGAGTCAGGAAGAAACGCCTATCTCAACAGAGGCAATCTACCCTGTGATGACGGATTAAGAATACAGAATGTCACCACCCCTTTTAATCACATGGGTGTCGTAAGAGTCTAGTGAGGGAGCAAACTACGCAGGACAACAGCACTGCAAAGAGAAGGAAAACTTGAAATAAACCCTATACCAACGCGTCTGGCCAGCGTGGTATAGTAGGCCAAAACCTCTTTTCTAAGGAGAGGCCTATGTCCAGCAGTAGCTCATTAAATGCTGTTGATGACGACAATTACTTGACCATAACGACGTTACTGTAGGTGACTCAAATATCCAGATAGCCCATAAAAGATTCAGCCGAGTATCGTTAATTTGCTCCTAAGAATTGAAGAGTTCCGTTACTTTGTCGTGGATCCCATCATCAGAATCTAACCAAACTCTCATCAAAGTACCCTTAAAGTATATCCATTCCAATAAAAAAAGAATTATCGAAATCGGTTTGCGTGAAATTGAGTTATTCGTCTATTTGTCGCGAACATACTAAATGCAAATTTAAGACTTATATGGTTTTCTCATGGATGCCATTTTAAGAACTAAACCAAATTAAAATGGGACCACACGGGAAGCACCAGCTTTCAAATAAAAAAAGAATCATCAAAATCGGTTCACCTAGTCAAAAGTTCTGAGCTAACATAAAAAAAAAAAAAAAAAAATACAGTCGAATTGAGAACCTCCTTCTTTTTTTGAAGTCGGTTAAAAATACTAAACCAGTACCTCTGACATCACTTACTATGACTAATCTTAACCTAACGATTCTGTCGATATGTACACAAAAGTCACGTGAACTGAATTAGCCTCAAAGCCCTGTCTTATTTCTCATTCGTATAATTATTATATACTGTGTAATTACCACCCCAGACATGCAGATAAAACAACTATACAGTAATTGTGCCAATATCACTTATTTCCTTTCCAGTTTACTCATATATCAATCTATCAGTCGATTACTTCAATAAACGTCAGTTATCTGTCTTCTTTTGTGTATGTTAGCATGTTTAGGAATATCTATAGAGGTATTTGTGTCACTATAAAGGAAACACGTGCTTTTAAATATCTAGTTTCACAAAAAGAATACGGTTGACAAATTAAAATACAATAAAATACTGGAAACGCCGCATAAAATTTATTTATATATAAAGATATTTTAGTTCGTTTACCCTACAATATTATTGCTTGAAATGTGAACAAAGCGATATTTACGAACAAGACCAGCCAAAATTCAAAATGAGGGTAGTAGATAAACTAAAGCACAAACAGAACTGCACCAAGATTTTCTTTTTTTGTAGGCCTGTGTTATCTTTTAAAATTAAGTATGTTCTTAGTAAACCAAATCAATTTTTGCTGTGTGTCGTATCTATAATAGGAGTGGTACTTTTTGTTGATCCACTATTAGCTCGTCACTAACGCTACTTTTAAAAATAAATCTATTCACAATAGATCAATGTCTATTCATAAAGAGAGGGAAAAGTAATACGTTTTAAGGTTATAAGCATATTTACAGTACATGTGATGAGACAACGATATATAATAGTTAAAATATCAATCAAAATACAAGAAAAAGTAGACAGTATTTAGTCTCAAGTAACAAAGACTGTAGTTTCTCACTATCTACTTTAAGCTATGAGTGAACGACTTTGTAGCCTGGGAAATAACCGTATATTTTTCTTACATGACTGTATAAAAACAGTACTTGACTCCAATTTAACATAATTGACCACTTGTAGTTTACTAATTGTAGAGCGCCAACGGAGTCTATCATTATAAAGTATAATTACGAGACAAATTTCATGTCTAAAATTTATATAATTTTGACCGTTATAAAGATACAGATACAAAACAATTGAAATATTACACTGGTACAGATAGTAATTTCCATTTATTTTCATTATATCCTAGGTTTTCAATACACACTTTTCAAAAGATTTAGTTTGTATAGAAAATTACTCTAGACCCTGGGCGAAACTGATCGAAAAGAAAGACCCAATCACATTTTTATTTTGAGAAGAGCGATGAAGGCGCTCGCTTTTTGAAGCTGAGTTTCTAGAGATTACAATATTTTCTAACATTTTTTCTGTTCTTCTGAATGTATAAATGTACAAATATGTATGTAATATTAACATTCTTCGACAATGGTAAAATTCGCAAAAGCCAATACAAATATTTTACAAAAATAAAGTATGAATGGTATTTTATTCAATGATTTTTATTTAAATTAACAAACAAATAATCCAAAGGTTTCTGTAGATGTAAAGATTAAAGTACCAAAATTGTCTTTAATTGACTAAAAACATTCACTGCATATAAAAACTTTCAAGATATTTGCTTAATGCCCGTAAGCATATATATAAATAAATAACTGAGTCACGAAAAGATTTATCAAAAGTCTTGCGTAACTGAGCTTATTGTATATTATACTTTTTTCCAAAGGAAAGATTCCATTACATTTTACAAAATATATTGTACGTAACAAAGCATTAAATATAAATATAAAGCTTTTTGTTTTCTTCACTTGTTAATGTTCGTCTTTGACACATGAACCATTCATTCAGAAGCGTAGAGTTTTTGGTTATAAAGATTGCACAAGCTACATTAAAAAAATATTGTAGCAGTTGCTAAAATCAAGAACGATTTAGATCGGCAATAAGAACGAAAGATACCGACTTAAACATTGACTCTATGGAGGATGAAGAAAGCACCAACAGAAAGTGGTTTAGTTACAGAACGGCGACATAGCTTTTACTTGGACTTAAGATGGACGATATAGGTATAGCCACTTACAGAGCGTTGATAAAATATACGCTGTCTCACTTAACACTGTGAGAAAGGGATAGGGACTTTTTAATGAAGAGACAAAAGTGTACTTTCTCACACCGTACCGTGGTGCAGCTATGCACACGGATAAAAAAAAGAAAGCCTGGTTAGATAACCATAAATCGAACTTTAATTGTGGGGTTTCCTAAAATAAATCATGCAGTGCATTTTATTTGTAATAAATGTATTTAAACTATGTTTATGAAGTCAGGTATTGTTTTGGCTAGATCGCATTGTTTTTCTTGGCGTAGTGTAAAGTTGATGTAAAATTAACATTGAACACGATTATTTTTGTGAGATTTAACTTATATTTAACTATGCTTGCCGTAGACAAAGATTTTTGTTCATTACGACAAGAAAACGATTTTCTGCAATACTTCGGACGTGTAATCTCAAACAAAAAACAAATATTTTAACAAAAAAAACCGACTTCAAAAAAGACTATTCCAAAACAAATTGATAGCACTAAAAAGTAAAAAAATAAATTTATATTCTTCTACAACTTAATAATCAACTTACTATTTCTACTAATCAATATGTAGGTATGATCTATGTGTTTACCACGCAAGAAGGTAGGTAGGTACCTACCCACTTCAAATCTAACTCAACATATAGGTACCTATGAATAACAAACAACGATCAAAATATTTTTTTAAGTTCTAAGTAAAATGAAATGAAAAATATTAGACTACTTAAAATTCAATCAAATTATTACGATAATATAATGTAGTTACAATTATTGTTATTTTTGGAGTCGGCTTTACATGAAAAAGGTTTTGAATATCGAAAAACATAGTCACCGTCTCGGCTTGACCAACGATCGTCTATCTAATGAGACGGAGGAGCAACGCGCCCACCGTCTCGGATTAATCCACAATCGTGCAAAGAGATGGAAAACTTGAAACAAACCCTATACCAACGCGTCTGGCCAGCGTGGTATAGTAGACCAAAACCTCTTTTCTAAGGAGAGGCCTATCCTGCAGTGGAGTAGTAAAGGCTGTTGATGACAAAAATTACTTGACCATAACGACGAATAGCCTATAAAAGATTCAGCCGAGTATCGTTAATTTGCTCCTAAGAATTGAAGAGTTCCGTTACTTTGTCATGGATCCCATGATCAGAATCTAACCAAACTCTCATCAAAGTACCCTTAAAGTACATCCATTCCAATAAAAAAATTATTATCGAAATCGGTTGGCGTGATATTGAGTTATCCGTCTGTTTGTCGCGAACATACTGAATGCAAATTTAAGGCTTATATGGTTTTCTCATGAATTCCATTGTCAGAACTGAACCAAATTGAAATGGGACCACACAGGAAGCACCAGCTTTCAAATAAAAAAAGAATCATCAAAATCGGTTCACCTCGTCAAAAGTTCTGAGGTAACAAACATAAAAAAAAAATACAGACGAATTGAGAACCTCCTCCTTTTTTTTGAAGTCGGTTAAAAAGTGATTACTTTCTAAAGTTTAATAAAGAGTACGATTTTGGCTAAAAGTGCTATCTTCAACATCATTTAGATGATGACGACATTCAAACTTCAATCACTATTGTATTTTATATAATATCTACTAAATAAATACTATACGAGTATATTGTTACGTTAGAGTTTCGACTGAGTTACGATCTTTAAAAATATATGACAAGAACAGCTGATGTCATTATTAAGGCGGAAGTTATATTTCCTTTAACTATTTCTGTTACTGTAAGTACATGAATTTTGTCCCTAATACTCTATTGTTTTGCCTAGATAACTTATCGTAACATATTTTAAGTTATGTTCAACAATAGATTAGCCCAGTTAAGAACAAAACAACACGTCACTATTGTCATCAATAGTTCCGGTAACCGTACGCTTGGAATCATAGTAGATAGAACAGTATTTGAGCTAAACAAGGTAAGGTCAGTTATATAAGGATAACATTTGAAGGTGTGTTTCCATGTCAATTGTCAATTTTCCGTAGTATTTGGCGGTAAAAAAAATCAGATAGGTACTTGCTTTGCTTTGCTACTGCTACGTGTGGACAAATACACGTGGCGCTGAACGTGGGAATACGAAGTGTCACCACCCAAATTCATCACGTGGGAGTCGTAAGAGCCGACTAAGGGAGCAAACTGTGCAGGACAACAGCTGTGCATTTAGAAGGACAACTTGAAACAAATAATATACCATCCCGTCTGATGAGTGACATGTGAATACCTCGTACATCGGTGTTTATCAGGATATGTACGATGCAAAAGATTTAGTTACAAATCATCAAAGGATTTACTTCTGTAACAAGACTTACCACTATCTATTAGACTCTCTGATTAGATACAGAGAAAAACAAAAATATTGACATTCAAAACTCACGTTAACTCGTATTCAGCATCCGGCGTGAGCAATCGTATGACTCAATCAAAACCATAATAACCGAACATGCGACACCATAATTACGTTATAGTACATCGGAATTCAGACCAAAGAATTCTAGGATTAGTCATTTCAAACAATGCCAGTAATTATGTCACCAGTAAACAAGTTTGGTTTAGGGTTAGAAATTAGGTTCTCTTATGAATACATACTTCATACACAATACACACAGACTTCAAACAATATTCTAAATTAAAAATTTAAAAACAAAAGACACACATCTTGGATTTGAAATTTGTTATAGTGTATAGTATTCTACAGCTCAAGCCACAGATACCCATATTGAATTGGATTTGAAATTTTCGAAATTTTTGAATTGAAATTGGCGGCTGCCATCTTTGATCGATTTTCATCAAACATAGCTAAGAACACTTCCGACTAGTTCACCATTCAAACAAAAAAAAATACAAAATCTAAATCGGTTCATCCGTTCGGGAGTTACGATGCCACAGACAGACACACAGACCCACACACACCACAGACACGTCAAACTTATAACACCCCATCGGTTTGCGTCGGGGGTTATAAACCTAGCAGCAATCACGGTTGATTTGCTGTCATTTTTTGAAGAGTTCCCTTGTCTATCGCCGAAACTCATCAGATCTATATGAAATTTAACTGGGACCATTTCGAAATAAACCCTTTTCTTACAAAAAAAGTATTTTGAAAGTCCATCTATATTTGAGGGTGTTATGCCCGAACATACATTAAAAAAATATATGCATGTAAACATCCCAACTGATAACCTCCTTTTTGAAGTTATTCAAAACTCGATCAAATATATTATTATGACGCAATGAGCTTCAGTACATTGTCAATGTGTCTTTGTCTTTTTCAAAGAAAAAAAAAAAAAAAGAAAAAAAAAAATGTCACCTCAACCGTTAAGTTGGCAAAAGCTAATTTTTTTTTTTAGAAACTCATATCGTGCCATTTTAGGTTTAACCCTTGGGGTGCCTGGTAAGTAAAAGTTATACGGCGTGCCTGGTGGGTCTGTAAGACCGAAAACAAAGTGTCTTGGTCACAAGTGGTCAACACACAACAAGTGGTCTTTTAAGTTATTGATTGCGTGTAAATCTTGTGTAAATTTCAAATTTAAGGAAATGTTCATTTTCACGCAATCGGTTCAATAATTAGTTTGTTTAATTATATTACTTTAGTATTACTATACTTAGTCCTTTAATTACGTGGCTTATTAATAAGGAAAAATGTGTAAAATGTTGGTCGTGAACGTTAAAATACAATTTACTTTTTAAAGGAAAACCTTTAAAAGAACCTGTATCATAAATGCTTAAGGAATTATTAAACAACCTTCTCATCGCATTTAATGATAGTATGCGAACAGTTTAAGGTCAATTATATGACTGCACGGATGGCGTAGTGGTTTAAGGGATCACCTCGCCGCTTCCTATTGCGCTGAGTGTTGTGGGTTCGATCCCCACATGAAACGACACTTTGTGTGATATAAAAATTGTTGTTCTGAGTCTGGGTGTCTTTGTGTCCGTTTTATGCATGTTTGTAAAGTCCACCGCAACAAAAAAAAAATTAAGAGACGAAAGGTTAACCACCAACATTATAGACTATTTCGATCAGGACCTCAATTCAGCTATTTTATGTTAACGCCAAGCGACTGTCATTCCATTGACACGCTATTGAGATGACACTGACATCGGTCAAAATATCGGTATTCTAGTAACATAATTTCACAGTGTCCATAGACTATCGATATAGTAAAATATTTCATCAATTGTGATATCAACAACATTGCCATATCATGAAAATTAAATATATCATTATCATAATCATGAAAATTAAATATATCAATATCATTAATTAAATATATATATAAAATGTACATTTTACCAAACTATTACAAAGACATCGACGACATTTGGAACAGTGACAAGTCATCCGACCATTGGTCTTACATAGTTAGTAGAATAAGAAAAGTGCAAAACTATTCCAACGGCATTCCATCGACAGTCTATTGCTAAAATATTAAAATACCAGAATTGATACACGCTCCCTAACAATAATTACGTCAAATAGTTGCGTCGGATAGTACTACATAGTTTACGTATGCTTGTTTAGTAAACTATCCTGATAATAAAACAGATCATACAAACTCTAAATATTTATCGCAATAGTTTGAACCACAAACTGTTACTACTATTAGGCCCGTACGTATTACACACGTCGATAATAGCTAACTTATATGATTGTAAGTATTCTTACTATTCTTTTTACCGCGAAAACCGACATACACGCGGGTGGGGTGCTAGCAAAAGCTAGTATCATATAAGTTAGCTATTATTGATTTATATTATCCCTGAGTGCTACATCTATAGCACTCTATTATATATTATACCTTTCTAACAGTGAAAGAATTTTCAAAGTCAGTTTAATAGTACTGGAGACTACCCCGAACACACAAATTCACAAACTTTACCTCTTTATAATATTAGTATAGACTGGCTGGTGCTCGCGACTTCATTCGCGTGGAATTTAAAAAGCGCTGCCTTAGTGTAGTTCGGTACGCGACTGCAGTCCATGAGCGTTTGATCCTGACCGCGCACAATTTTATAGAGTTTTTCTGAGAGGAAAAATAGCTTAAGTTACTGCTTATATGGACAGCTCCCTGGTAGTAAAATATTATAAATCGGTCAAGCCGTTTTGAAGATTACCCGGAACCAACAGACAGACAGACAGACAGACAAAAATATTTAAACTGGTTTTAGGCATATGTATCATGCAAATAACCGCGTGAACATGAAAAACCTATTATTTAGTCATTACAAACAAACTTCAATTTTATTTAGTTGTATAGATGTACCTATTAGATTAGGTATGTACAAAAATATAGAAAACCGCTGTGAAAAACCCCACTTGAACTGACCTATAATTTAAGTTTACATACTAATACAATTCTAATTAACAGTTATAACAACTTTCAATTATAATTGTTTTGTAATTCCATTTATTTTATAAATTATAATGCTTGGAATGTCCAAGAAGTTGTTTTGTTAGGTCTCTAAAAAGCTTGTCTCCGATTTTCGATCTGTTAAAAAGTGATGTAAAAAATCGCATCAATCCTTCTAAATACATATTAAAGTTTAAAATAGTACATTTAAAAAAGGGAAGTTTCTCTTCTACACCTTGTTCTAAAGCATATTGAGAATGAGAAACCACACCGCATAAAACGTTCGCGATAGTGAAAAGAACAAAAACTGCGCTAGATATCCTTTTGAAAATTATTAAAATTATTATTTGTGCCGTTATTAAACGTTAAAACTTAAAAATCACTAAAATGCATAGTTGATCTGATATTAAAACTGAATGCAAGTTAGTTTTTGGTCTGGCTGACTGAAGTCATCTAATGAAAACCAAAAATAAAAACTTATTTCATGAATTACAAAGAAGTTGTCACAAGATGAGTAACAAAATACATCAAGACATATACATTCTTTGTGTTAATGAGATTGTGTCTTTCTGTATTTGAACACAAGTGTAATAAACGATTGCATAAATTTATCTACCCCCTACAACAACAAAGCATTATTCGTGACACGAAGCTATTTTAAAAACAATATTATCCACCTAAGCCCGGATTAGAAGTCAACAGTACTCTCACTTCAGATACAATGGCGAAGATAAATGTGAAAAGCTGTCACACTTCGTGACTAATGGCACGGAAGAAGCCTACTATCTCTAATGAAACATCAGATGTCGCCTTTTCAATGTGACATACCCATTTATACTTCGAATCGGTATACAACTAATTATTGTTTCATCTATTAAGAAACAATTTATAATCACTTCAAAAAAGAAGACTCAACTCGTCTGTCTTTTTTTTTATATTAACGATCGTTTATTTATTTGTTCAACACTGCACTGCACTTCGAAAACCGGTTTGGAAAAACCGTACTTGCATAGGGACCATAACCATCGCGAGCATTGTCTTTGTTCTTAAATAAGTGTACCTAGCGAAAGACTTTAGGAAGCCCTTACTCGAGTTTCAACCAAAATAAAAATAAGAAACACCTCATTAATTTTTAAAAGGCCCATAGCATTTTTTCTGCGAAATGAGGCACTCTTATAGGAGCGGATGCTCCTATTATCTTAAATGTCAAGTGGTATTTTTTTTATTGTGGCCATAGTATCAAATTATACAGCCCACACCAGATGGCAAGCGCTCATCCTCACGGTCAACATCAATGCTTGTTGAAGCCATTATATTTTATTGACTTCCAAGGCCTAAGACGCTATTTTTTTTCTCTCGCGATCTGCTGCATGAACGGGTATACCTGTACTATAACTACAAATAGCTTTGGTATTAAACTCTGTGAGCACTTTCCGGCGTTTGAAGAAGCGACTTCAATTGGTTATTTGCAGAGGGAGCATTCGTGGAAACGTTTAATATTATGGTCAAGCTTCAAGGCTAGAGGACTTAGAGTGTGCAGGGTTTGTGTAAAGGGGTACAAAGTTGAAAACAGGTTTCCCCGATCAAGTGTCTTGAAGAATTGGCTATTGTATATTACGTTCATAGTAAGGTGGATTTTGAAAGGCCTGTATTGTGTATTAGCAGCTTTGTTACGTTAGGTATATTTATTGCGTTTTTAAAACTTGTTTCAGTAAACTTGCTATACTCGTACATATTATGGACATACATATTTTTTAAGTTGTCTGGATTTAATGGAAATAACATACGTACAATATTTCAAACTCAGACGTTTAATGATAATCTTAGTGTTGATATTGCAGTAGCTGCAACTACCTATAATACAAGATTATTTACTTCCCATACATTTTATTAGTAGTTCAACAATTAGTACAAGGTTTACATTTTAACGATATTCGTATCTTAAGAATTGCATTGAGCTATCATTAACTGTAAAACACCAACTGAAGTAATTCAATCTATAATTGTACAGTGACGTCAAACCAAATCTGAGGCGGTATTAAGAATAAGAATGCGAATTTAAAGGCAACTCAGCGTTGCATCACATCGACACGCACCATCTACGTTTGGTTCAAAGACCCTTAATTAAAATCTCGAAGAGGGGAACTAGTTCATACCGCTACGTTAGAAAAGGATAGCAATGTCTATCGTCACTTTCTTCTAAGCATCTAACATTATATTTTATGTTAGGGACGTTTCAGATCATGTTCTTATTATATCCTATCCCGGATTTATAGGAGTCGACATGAAACATGTTAATCTCCAAGAAGGTTTCTATAGGGATTCAGTGAAATGCGGCACTTTTTTATTTTTATATTAAAACCTCTAGGTAGGTAGATTGGATTAAGAATAGATGAATTCAGATTCAAGTATTTTAAAATACGTGGGATGCACTTTAGTTGGCAGCACTTATTATTTACAAAAAGTAAAAATCCTGGATTCATTCTGCGGTTAGGCTTAGTTCGCACACCGTGGGTGTTAACTGTTAAACTAATTAAAAATATCAGTCATATTTAATTTTTAATTTTAGTTTAAAAAGACAACTCCCGCATTAGGAATATATCCTTTGTCGCGGAGGACTTTACAAACATACATGAAACGGACACAAAGAACACCCAGACTCGGAACAACAATTTGTGAATCACACAAAATGTCGTCCCATGTTGGAATCGGACCCACAACACTAGTAGTAAGCGGTGCTGCGACCGCTTAAACCAATACACCAATCGTGCAGTCATATTATTTTTAATTTTTTAACCATCTATTAATTTTATAATAAATTTATTTTTTAAATATTAACGGCGGAAATAAGATGAACCAAGCCAAGTCGTAAAAATCATACGTTTTAATTAATTACATGAGTTTATAGATTGTTATGTTCACGAAACCACGACAAAGTCATACCGCGACCTGTTAGTGCCATAATTAGAAATCGGACGATACACCAATAAATACCTGCACGTACAGCGCATGCGCCGCGATTATTTGCAAAACAAATAAGTCAGTACGGCCTCAGGTGCGCAGCCTGTTTGTCCGATACAGTTCAATCCATATTATTGTGAAGTCCCTGCGTTAGAAATACTGGTATACTTTCTTATTCTATTTTATAATCTGTAGTTTTACAACTTTGAAAACTGTCAGCTCTAAAATAAATTTTATAATCAACATTGTGATTGCGTCACTCTTTGTTTCCTTTTCAGTACAGCTGGAGGCCACGCGCTGATAACACGCATCGCAACATTCCAGCGCAATGTTTACTGTATTTATTTTATTTCTTATGTTCACAGATATGCGTCTGCCTGCCATACCATAATAAATAAGCCACGACCTCAGGACTAACGGTACAAAATAAAACAAATACCGTATCGAGAGAAAGCGTTGAGGATTTCAAGCGGAGTGAAAGCATCAAGCGGCAGTGCAACCGTAGCGTCGCGTCGTACGGACGACAACATAACCTAAACATGTCTGTCGCAATCGCATCTGCCTTTATTTTAACCAGTGCCGTAGCTTTTTATTGGTACATAAATAGACATAAACAACTGAAACACATATTAAGTGAACTAAGATACACAATAGACATGCAGGGCACGGGTGCCGGCGGGCTTATCGATGACTGGGTCAACGTATGGAGGAACAAAATAGTGTTGCCAGATGCGAAGAGTAAAATTGCGGTCGTGACCGGTGGAGCTCGTGGAATTGGTACAGAAGTAATACGAGGTTTGTTAAAAGCAAATGTTTTCGTGATCGCCGGCGTAAGGAAACCAGAATCCGTGAAGAAAATAGCTGAAACTATGGAAAATGGAGACAATCTTATCGCTTATCCCCTGGACCTACAGTCTCTGAAATCTGTCAAGAAATTTGCAGAGACTGTTTTGGAGAAATACTCGAGTATTCAAATGTTGATAAACAATGCCGGAATTATGTATGGTGATTACCAATTGACTGAAGATGGCTTTGAAAACCAGTTAGCGACGAATCATCTGGGTCACTTCTATTTAACCCATTTAATGTTACCAGCTTTAAAAAAAGGCGGTGCTGTTGGGGAAGCTGCGAGGATTGTAAATGTGACGTCTTGTGCTCATTATCCTGGTAAGATTTACTTCGATGACATCAACATGAAAGATCACTATGACAGTATCGCGGCATACGCCCAATCTAAACTAGCACAGGTGAGAATATGTATATGAATAATTTCTTTTGCAAAAATATTTAAAAAAATTCAAAACCGTTAGTCTATTGAATAATATACTTAATTTAAATATAATTGTTGTTACAGCTCATGAGTGCAAGATACATCAACAAGTTACTGGAAGAAGAAGGATGCCCAGTCAAAAGCTACTCTGTACATCCTGGAATTGTAGACACGGATTTATTTGAAAAAACTATGTTCAAAAAGGCATTTCCATGGGCAATGAAATTATTCTTTAAGACTCCTGAAAAAGGAGCGATATCAATACTTTTTGCTTGTTTTGATAAAGATCTAGAGAAGCGAGGAGGATTATACATTAGTAATTGTATAGAAGGTATAAGTAACAGATTTTCAAAGAAACTGGATAATCAAAAAAGACTGTTCGAAATGTCTTGTGATTTAGTAAATGTTGATGTAGACAATTTTGGTAAAGTTTAGCCTAGTCTAGTAAGAGTGAATATAGAGTATATTCAAAAGACTTATTTTTATACATTTAACTACAATAAGTATTTATGAGTGTTTAAATTTTATATTATGAAATAAATATATATGAAAACATTTTTTAATTATTTTTTTTTGAAAAACTAAAGACACCATTTACTTTAAAGTAAAAACAAAACGCTATCTTAAGTAGAACACTTGAACATGAGTTTTATCACTACTAGCACAATGGACAATAAACAAAGGAATACCAAACTCATAAAAGTCAAGTATAAATAAACATTTGAATGGTTTCTACAACCTGGTATTACAGAAAAATATTATTGGACAACACATGTGTGTGTAGAATTCCTAATGAACTCTTTTGTTTTTTATTTCTGTGAACTTGGACAAACAACTATAGTTCAACACAGTTGATATTTTTGTTTCTTTACAAGAATATTGAAATTTCGAGTTTTAAAAAAAGAATTAAAGATTTAGGAATAGATTGTAATATGATTCTGCTTTTTATTTTTTGGGTGATTTTTATGGTTTCAACTGTTTTCAAATAATAATAACTACACACACACACACGTCACTCTGATTTCAAACTAGACAGAGGCTGTACTATGGTAACTAGACTGCTGATAAGCATACCTATATATTTATAAATATATGCATATTATACATAAATTACACTCAGACACAGAACTGATGACAGTGCTCGTCACAAAATATTTGTCCTGGATGGGAATCAAAACCCACAACCTTCGACTTAGCAGTCATGGTTACTATCCAACAGGCCCATCAATTACATAAGTAAAGGAAGAAAAAGTTCGAGATTTCTTGACAATATACTTATTTCAGTGTATTATGTACTAATAAATGTTTAGAACAATTCACAATCGGAATTAAATCTTTTTAATTCATATGGGTACAGAAGGATATTTTTGGTGTTGTTTTATTTCAATTTTTCATCTACAGCTAAACAACTATTGTCTAAATAAAGACCCCAAAAGGAAAACAACATAAAATTACTATTACCCAACTTAGTTCTCAAATTAATACCAATAAGAAAACTAAAGTTTTATTCCCATTAATTCTTCTACATAAATTACATAGGTAAATACTTCCTACTATATATATGACAAGTTAAATTATGTATGAGTTTGTGTAATTATGTGTACCCGCATTTAATATTTATTGATGCTTTAAAACAATTGACAGTTGTATTGGCATCTTTTTTCTACCTGCTAAAGAATGTCATCTTTTTTTTACACAATGACATTGGTATACAAATATACAGCCAAACTATGGGTAAGAATTTACTGTGCCTATGAATTCCTAGCATCATTTCAATAATTTTCAGTATAATGATTTCCTATTCAGATAGTTTTTTAAACAGGTTTTTTGTTGTTTTTTTTCATTGAACACTTTAATTATTTTTTTTTACATCTATACCTAGCCCTTTTGTTGTTAGCACAAAGCAAATTCTCAAACAAAATAAACATTTGGGCATCCAATATACCTACATATATTTGTATTGTACTGAACCATTATCAGTTTCTAATTAACTATATTAATTAATTTCAAACTTACCGACTGAAAAATCCTGACAGCCCTTTCTTCTTTAATTTTGACTGTTCTTGGTCAATGGCGGGGACTTCAGGAACCTCATCTTCTTTAGAGGCACCGGAGCCAAGGGAACATTCTGAGAGACTAGACACAGTACTCGAGAATGAGCCGCCATCCTTGCCTCTGTGATGACCAGTCACACTGCCACCCCACTGTAAAGTACTCTTCGGTGAATCACTTGTATCACTTTTCTCACAAGTTGATATGGAAAAGTTGCCCTCATCGCTGAAACTGCTCTTCTTAGACAGTTTATCAATGTCGTCGACAGAGTCCTTCACAGCTTTTTCAACTTTCGGACTCACAAAATGCAGTTGCTTTGTTATAGGGTTATAAGCCAGTTGAATATTATCCAATGCTTCACTGAGACGCATCCCGCCTTTTTGGCACGGAGTCGACGACATAGCGATTTCGAAACTCGAATACTAATACGCACGATTCATCCATGTTTATGTACACAACATTTATTAACGAACGCCATTATTAAGGAATCACATAACATTCACACACACTAATTACTGAATCAATTGTTTTTTTTTTTATTTTTGTTTTGTAAAAGCTTCAGAAGCATTAACGAAATTAAACGTTTGTAACTATTTACAACATTATTATTTGTAATGTTAGTTACATCAGTTCAATTTTTTTTATAATTCGGATTTCATTGAAGTATTCGTTCGATTATATCTAAAATAAGAAATAAGCACAACGCAACACACCCATCGCCTTTTACTTTCCACTGTAAATTAAATTTGACATTTTTGGCGAAGTGTTGCCTGCCTTTATTTCATGTCTACCGTAATTAAATTAAAAACTGACGAACACACACAGTGCTATACCCAATAAGGTATTATATAAGGCGCTCCTAGAGGGAGGCTTTCATTCAGCAATGCAGATAGCCTGATGATGATGATGATTTAAAATAATATGTGCTATTAGACTTAATAGATCTATTAAAAGGGGCCTTCTGATAACTTTCTTGTCCCCGAATTGTCCTCGATGGCAATCATAATTTTAACAATACTTCAATTATTTAAATTAAATCATCATCATCAATTAAATAGTTTCATTATTTTAGTACCCAGTAATATAGTAACTAAAAGACCAAGCAGTTGTTATCCATTATTGCATTCTTTTAAAATGAAAGAATTTAATAAGAATTAAATCATTATTTAGAACCCAGGTGAAGTAATCCTGTTAATGAAATTTTACTCAAAAATGACCGGCCCGTTTGCAAAAATAATGATCATAAGAGAATTAGATTATGCTAGAACCTAGAACCAACTTGTGTTTTAACAGCTATTAAAATTGGGAACTTTTAAACTCTGACAACACTGAGTTATTAATGCTGCGTTCAGAAACCAAATAGTATTTATGAATACAGTACAAAATGTACAATATACTTATGTTAATTTCAATTATTTTTACGATTGGATCTTAGTGGTCGTCACTACTTTATAAATATTTCAATTTATAAACAAATTTTCATTTAGGTTTTAGCATTTAAAATAAAATATATGCAAATCGCCTGATTATATTTGTAACTACGTTCATTATCCGTTAAAAAATTATATAGAATAATATGAAATGAAAACTAAATTTCTATTACCGAATTTTGGAGTTCAACTACAACAAATTATGGCTTATTGGTATTGATTTAGTGTATCAAACCGACAGTGCTCAAGTTTAGGTTTGTAATTTTTAATTTCAAAGCAAAACCGGTTTAGCTTCAGAGCAATGTAAGAAATGCAACACCGATAGTGATCGACGTAGGCGTTATTATTCTAAGAACGTAGGTATTATAATAACATGCATGTTATATACATGCTCCGGCTCGTGTTAAAGATGATTTAGATTTTAGATTTTAGATATATTCTCCGTTGATTGCTGTAGCGTTTCGTGTGTTTAATTATTGATTTTTAAACAGTATTAAAGATCAGATTTAAATTTATTGGTTTCTTTTTTACACGCACATTCCTCGCGCATGAACGAACTCATAGCATTAACCATATTATGATACGTGTTGCATTTCCATTCAGATTGAAGTTAAACTGTATTGCAATTGCAATCACAGATCTGCAAGCTACTGTTCTTAGTCCCGTTTTCCCTTCTGAATTTTTGCAGTAACTTTATCCTAGCTCCTTCGTCATTACTTTACCTTCTTCCTTTGTCCTGTCTTTTTATAGGAGAGGGGGCAAACGAGCAAAGTGGGTACCCTTCAACTAGTAGTAGTCCTTCAAATATCTCTAAGTAGGTGGTCGAACACAAAGAAAACAGGTCAAGTTATGCAGTGCGCGGTGCAGACAGGCGCTAGGAAGGGTCCGGTTGTCTTAATGAAAGCTTTTTCTAGATTCTTTCTAATGTAGTCAGTGTTGCACGCCGATTCTGATACACCGTAACAACCCGAATGGGTTTACACAAGCCTAAAAAAGCGAGAAGGGTGGTTATATTTCAGAACACACATATATGCATTTTTTCCACCAATAATCACTGACCTTACTTTAAAAAAAAACGATGAACAGACAAGAAAGAGAGGCGACTCGACTTACCTTTACATTTGAATATTACTATGAATAGTAACTGTTAATGAAACGATCCTGTTTTAAGCTATTTTAATATATCCCCCCAAAGTTAAGACTAAGACTTCAAATATTTTACCAACAACCAAAAAAAAATACAGACAAATAAAACCATTTTAATAGTAAAATAATTTATTTCTGGTCTCTCATCTCTACACTGAATACATTGAAAAATATTTCGTGGTCGTTTCGATCGCTGCAGCCTCTTAGGGTTAAAGTGAACGAATATTGTTTCAAAACTAATATTACAAAAATAGATTCGATATTATACAATAAATATTTACAAATCACATACAAATCTCGTACATTTAACGTAAGGAAATAAGACAACCGTGCGCTTTGTAATTTACATTATGGATTTTACATGTAAATTAAGTTTTATAAAAAAATAAATAATATCCTTTTGGCGTTAAATGGATTTTCTCAAGTCTTTGGTACTGTTGGTGAGCTGTTTTGAACGGTCGCCAATTCCGGGAACAACTCCATAACGCACAGGTCTAACAAATTGTACACCAGCTGTAACAGATATATACATCTGAGTTATGAAATATCACGAGAACTTACAACTGATAATAATGACGATATTAATATTGAAGTAACGGTGGCGTTAATGCCAATATAGGGCGTTCACAATTGTATGTATTTTTATTTTTATAAAACCCAATATATATTTGGTAGTATTTTTGTATTTTTTGTGGTGCTAACATTGTAGTTTCGTTAGTATTAATAGTAAACAAAAAGTTTCTTTGTTTTTAAATATTATTAACATTACGTTACACGAATTTCATGGTTTTTGACCCCCACCCCAGTCCTTGTTACAGCAGGTGAAAAATTAACAAAACCATTAATCGTATTACTGTCGAATAATTCAAATTTCGTGTTTTAAATAATATTTAATATTGTGACGTCATAAAACTTAACGTGTGATTTTGAATGTAATTTATGGATGGCCCCTGATTATACTAACAAAAAAAATTGTTACAGGTAGCATGTAGGACGATGTGGAAGTTAATACAGGGTGAACGAATGAATATAATTTGTTTCGTGTAAAAACATTATAAATTTATACAGTCTGTGCTTGCAAAAAAACTACCCAGATGTAGACCATTCGTGTTCGATATTAGTATCGAACAAGGTTAGAAATTTGTGTTTCGGCTAACGGTATCTCCGCTTAGATCTCACATTTACTAGGGAAACAATTTTACGAATACCGTATAGAGGGCGGTACGTAGGAAGGTGTAGGTACTCGTAGTGGGACGAACCTGCTTATTGAGCTGCGGACTCTGCAGGATGTCGAAGGCGGTGCGCAGCGCGCGCGGCAGCCCCGCGCCCGCCGCCCGCGCCGCCAGCGCCGGCGCCGCGCGCTCCACGCGCCGCCGCGCGCGCGCCCGCACACACCGCGCCTCCGACCGGGGACTCGACTTCTTGCTCAACAGAATTACTGAAAGGTAACGAAGCTAATGGTGATTCCCTCGCCCACCACGTATAGGTGAACTGCGATGTATACAAATTGTTTCGATGCTAGTTGGAAAAATAATTACTGAGCTCGCATAACGTTATCGACCGATGGATCTAACCTGGTCAAAAATCCTGCCACTACACTGGAGAACACGAAAATGTTAAATTCGAAACACAATAGAAGCACATACCGTGACCTAATCTAATGAGATGTGCTAATCTTCTTTCCGACAGCAGATTGCGCAAAGTATTGTTGAGGATTTTATTAAAAGCGTCATCGACGAGGTTCCTAGTGACGCCCAGTATGGTGCCCACGATGCCCACTATTAATCCACGCACTTGGAACACTTTTATTACTGTAAACAAAAGAAAATTAAAAGAACTTCTGCACTATAGTGTATAAGTATATTATATCATATCACATCCCTATCAACTTTTTTTTTATAAAATATATTAATAACATATTAAAAATATAATACAGCGAACTCAAGCAGCAATCACTTGTATGCGCGGCGCTGTAACATTATACGTAGGGGGTTGCCGCTTTTTCTAGACTCAAACGAAATAGCTTGATTATTAGGTCATCGCGAGGAAGGGTACGCGTTTTTAATCAGTTTAATCCAGTCGGCCCCTAGCCACCGCGAATCGCTGTATGCGTACTGCTAAGCTGTGTCCTTGTACTTGCGCTTGCGACGTTTTACCGTAATAATAAATATTATTCTTGTTCGTGAAATATTTGTTTAGTAAAGTTTTAACTGATGTGTTAGTTGTTTAGGCCTATTGCATTACATTTAAAGTCCGTCATCACGTTCCTCCTTCATCCTGCTTTAATCCTAATTTTATTTCGGGTCGGCGCAATGCAAAGGGTTTTAGTTCAATTATTTACGGCAATCTAATTAAAAAATCTTAAACATACAGTGAAAACTAAAATATACTTCAATGCCATCTAACGACGACAAATCGAACTACGGACTAACTGCTAATCCTGCATCGCGATATGTAAAGTTCTCGCGCCGATTAGTATATAATAGTGATGTGCCGGATATCCGTATCCGTATCCGTATCCGCAGATATCCAAGGGAGAAGAGAGATCCGTAACCGTATCCGTATCCGTGACTTTTTCGGCGGATCTTTCAATACATAGATGAAATTCTATATAGGTGATTTTGTATTCACTGTAAAACTCTTAGGTATGTGTTAGTAACACTATAAACAGCAGCTTTTTTTCTGAAGTATAAAAAATGAAAAAAAATGGTCCTCCATTCAAATGACCAATCAAATGTTGTTAGTTTGTATGGAGAAACAATTTTTTTTCTTTCGTTTTCGGTGTTAGTCCAGAAGAAAAGTTGTTGTTTATAATGTTACTAATATGCACATAAGAGGTTTTCAGTAAATTTAAAATAATCAGATTACTTTTTATTTCTTAAAACAAATATTTGGCACCTTTGTATTGCAATCATTTATCGTACTACACTAAATCAACTAGGCAGGTCGTAGGTACTGAAAGAGCAATCTTTATAATGAGATCAATCAAACATCTTTGTATTAGCTTATTAAAATAATGAAATATTTAAATATCAACGGCAAAGCGTCAAGTGGCGACAACTATCAACGTCACGGGCTCCGATTGAGTAAGAAACTTAAGATCCGTATCCGCGGATCTTGACACCAAATATCCGTATTCGGATCCGTATCCTCGGATATACTTTGTTAACGATCCGGCACATCACTAGTATATAATATACAACTTCCCAACCTCAGCCGTTGGGCCGCGGCCCGACATGCTTCCGCAGACCTTATAATTATAACTAGATATTATATTAATAAATAACATTTCAGATCAGTATCACATTTTTAATCATAGACAATTATAATATTATTACTTACACAAATACATGAGGCACTGTGAGAATCCCATAATACTGTTTTGATGCTGAGTGTCGACGGGACTTATCACAGGCTCCACATTAAAATTGTTTTCAAAAACCGTCGTATGAATATTCCGAGTACGTCGCTGACGCGTTTGTTGCTCCTCCTGTACCTCCTCGTTTACTTCCTGCGCCTCTTCTACGTCGCGGCCAGGACCATGTTTCCTGTTAACATTTTTTACAATTATTATTTTGTAAGAAGAAATAGGAGTTATTTGTGAACAAGCAAAAAAAAATGGAGGTATTTTTTTATTTATTGTTCTAGAGTTAACGATTAGATAAAATTTGAAAATCTTGAACTGGCCAAACAGATTTTCTTAAAAATCATAGTAATAAATTGCTCTTTTTTTTAACTACCCACAATTATATACAAGTGATTGAGCATCTAGTTTTATAATATGTCGTAGAAAAGAATAATTATTATATTTATTAACAGTTTTTATAACATACTTACAAAGCTTGATAGCGCTCAATATCAGAAGATACTAATAAATTCCTAAGAAAACTCTCCAAATGCTGTCCTTTTTCCTTCCTGAGTTTGTGTGTGACCGACTGGTAAATATTCGTCAAGTCTGTGCTATTGGCGTTCGGAGTGGCTGCTTGAACTATAATGGCAAATTCTCCGTCTTCTGTGAGGAATATTCTTAGAAGTTCACTGGTTTGCAGAAGACTTTTTTGTAATAATCTTTGGAGAAAATCTTCATATTTGTAGCGTAAAGTTTCTAGTGGACTGTTGTCTCTGGAAATAATGTGTAAATTTATAGCAACTGTACTTTTTTACCACCGTATTTTTCTGCAACAGCTATTTTTCCCTGCATTTCCAATGGCAAGACTGCTGGCTCGAAACCACACGTGATTTGGTCAAGAGGGATTTTTTTGGCCAGAATCTACAATGAAACCAAATTTATGGATGCTCTTACCCTAGTGCCCAGATCTAAGAGGAGAATAGGAATCGTGACTGGTTTATAAATAGCAGCGTTGATACTAATCAGAAAATTTAATTTGCATTTCCAACCACTCATGCTGCTAATATAGCGTCCAAAAAAAACTGATATTCTATATCTAAATAATCATACCTTCTAGAAGGTAATTGAAGATCCAGGAGCAACCTATCACCGTGAAACTCTATAAGTTTGCTCCTAAGCAGATGGAAGTCATGTTCGCTTCTCTCCACCGTCCATAGACTAGCTGCCGTTCCTGCCTCCACTCGGTGAACGGTGATTGTGAACACCCGAACCGTTCCTCGACGGGGAGGTGCTTGCTAAAATAATTATATTTTAAAATAAATATTTAAATCACCAATTCAGTTACAACAATAATTTTGGCCGGTAAATCTTTTACGAGTTATAAAACTTTTGGTCAGCAGTGTTCATCATGAAATAAAAATTCGACTCACTAATTTAGTCTCAACATTAGTCAAAACGACTTTGTAGCTGCTCAAATTTTGGCCTTTCATCGACTCCTCAATCGCCAAGCCTTCTAAATATTTCATTATATCCATATTGTCGACGCCGTCTCCTTCCGAGTCCTCGCTGTTCGTGAAACAATCCAATATTTGTCCGTCAACAGTTTGAGACTTGAGGGCCCCTTTGAGACGGTGTCCTATTTTTAACGCCGTATTTAGAAGTCGTTCGTGGGGTCTGAGGAACACATAGTACTGATTAACGCCATATACAATACCATTATTCGTTATGAGGTTCGGTAATTCATGAACTTACTTTTTAGTCATGTGTTTCTGGTATCCCGTCGGTATTCGGCCTCCAATAAGTATTTTATAAAACTGTAATACAGAGTCAGAATTTTGACTATTAGATCGTTACGTTATTTTTGTTTTCTGAGTTACAATACGTGTAAATAATAATACCTCTTCACTATGTAAAAATTTAGGTAGCATAACTTTCTCTAATAAAGCGTGGGACTCCCTCGCGGCTTGATAGAGCGCTCGACTCGTCTGCAACCTGAAACATAAACCGAAACGTTTAAATATATTCTTATAACCGATCGAATCAGATTTACTATATCGGATAGTATGGGGTGATGTCGTTGGCCTCATCATCACATATCACACATCAAAAGCCTTTAATGGTCCACTGCTGAACATAGGCCTCTCCTTAGAAAGGAGGTTTTGGCCTATTATCGCCTAAAGGGAAAATATTGCAACGAAAAGCTAAAATTTATCGGCGACACACAGGCGGTACAGTAGGCGGGAGCGAGACGGCGCCACTCAGTGTACCCGTAGAGAGAGCACGGGGTACAGCCGCCGGTAGGTGGAAGCGATACGGGTAACGAGAGAGATGGATCATCTAACTCGCTGTCTATATATGTGTAAGCCTGGGGCTAGCGGCGCCACTCACTGCTTGACGCTGGCGGCGTCGGCTCGCGCGGCGCGCAGGTGTCGCACGAGCGCGTGGTGCGGCGCCAGCAGCGGCGCGTGGCGCGCGCACAGCTCCGCCGCCTCGCGCTGCAGCCGCGCCTGCGACCTGCCGTCCAGCGACGGGTCCAGCAGCTTCGTTTGGAATGATTCTGAAACGACTCCTTCGCTTCACTAGGATACACGAACGTCTAATCGTCGTATGCTCGAGTAAAAGTAACATCATTTACGCTTTCACTGTCCGCGTGACGTCAGGACGAACGAACGACTTGACGGTCAAGAATCTTGTAACGAAATTGTGAAAAACAAAAAGTAAAATTTAAAAACAAAATATGTGAAATTTAATAAGCAAAAATAATAATTTATGTTTTATAGTTTCTGTACGATCCGATGCTTTAAAAAGTATGCATTAAGAAAGCATTAAGTAAATAAGTTAAGTATACCTACAAAAAAATTACCCAAAAACCAGAGTATACTTTCTCGAAAGATTTTGGTACGCTGAATCAAAATTCAGACACAGAATTGTTCTACCATGTCAAGTTTTTCAGATATTCTAATCTATAAAGGCAAAAAACAAGGTATCTTAAAGTTCAAGTCTTTAGATTTCAAATGACGTTGAGTTAGCTCAAATATCATCATTTTACCAAACCAATCAAATTCAACCCACCCCAAAAACTAACCTAAACAAACCTTTAACTGAAGTACTAGTTTCTAAACTAAGCAAACCCTATTCACTACTATCTTAACAAAAAAAGACTGAAGACTTGAACTTTAAGATATTCTGTGTACTTTTTTAGACATAATATAATTTAAAGGGTTTCATAACCTGAAAAATTTAGGTTAGAATATCTCAAAAACCTGACGTGATAGAGCAATTCTGCGGCTGGATTTGGATTCAGCGCACCAAAATCCTTTTGGGAAATGTACTCTGGTTTTTGGGTAATTTTTTTGTTGGCCGGTGTTATTAAAACTATGGCACTTACTAATATCATTATAAAACTGCAGTAAGTGTATATGGCTAGTAGTCTTCAGAAACTGCATAAACGCATAAAAATACTCCTGTTCAGATATCACAAAGTCCAACTCGACTCGAAGCATCTTGGGCCTCTGAATGTATATAGATTCACTTTGACGGGCGAAAGTTTCTAGAAATTCTACCTGAAAGAAAATAACTTAACTTAAAGAAATGTTTGCTTTTCTGGGGGCTACGAACCCTTTATAGTTATGTCATGTTAAGTTATAACTTATAAAAATAACTATTACTTGGGCGACATATCAATGTACGTTAATCCTTTTATGTAACCTTTAATACATTTAGTTTTATAAAAAAATACACTTTAAATAAGATACCTTTTCCTATTTTAAGTCATGTTTTCAATTAGCACTGCAAAACTGATTGTTCGTAGCTTTTTGATGCGAAACATCTAATGCTGAGGGTCAGAATGACTGTTACCGTGGCGACAAGTCGCCACAGCATGGGTCGCTCCGGTATGGGACACGTAATGCGGTGTGGCGACGCGTGGCAATTCTGAATATTTTATTTTTAATTGTGCTATATTTATTATTTATTTTCATAACCTATCCTTTTATACTCATTAATTTCGATATTTCACATTTGCTAGACGGTCCGCGACGGCTTAATTTTTTGTATGGCTGGATTTCATCATTATTAGTAACATTTAAAACTGTTTAGCAAAAGTTAAATTAATATTAAAGGCGACGTTACGTACGTATTACGATACCTTATAGTTAGGCGTAGTTGGCAGCTGGGCCATGGTTTCATCGCCAGTCGCCAATATGACAAGCGTGTTCAGTATGTAAGGGTCTGCCAGCACGTCCGTCAGAGACAGTAGCACCCAGCCAGCGAATATCTCCCTTATTAATACGCAAAATACACTGAAATAAAGAGGACTCCAATAATAAAGTACTTGATTGACAAATAACAGAAATGTTATTATAAAACGTGAAAGCGACATGTTCTGTAGAAAGTGGTGGTTTGGCGCGTGACCTTGTGACGTCATAATTTGCTATCGTTTTACTTTTAATGTTTAGTTTTATTGTCACTCTTAGTCACATTTAATTTCAGAAAGACTGTTGACTATTTTGTTTTAGCCATAGGCAACGATAGGGTATTTCTCTTTAGCTATTACTATTATACAAGATGTTTCAAGGTCATCTGACGAAGACACAGCGAACTATAGAGTAACTACTTTTTCATCGTGCAGCATGACAGTACCTATATTTAGAGTTCCCCAACGTCAACCGTTGGGTAGGGCCCGCCTTGTATGATGGATAGACCCAAAGAAAAAAAAATACATGCAATAATTATTCTGTATTTTGTTTTTACATAAGCTAGAGATAGCGTAGGTACCGCAGACGACCTCCGTCCTCTATAAGCGCAGGGGTGACAGGTGAGGCCATCTGTCAAACTAGTAGAAGCAGGACGGGGTGGCGGCGAGACGCGCTGCGGATCGCACGTGCCCTTTTGGGAGCAAGTTAGCACCAAGAGAACATGGGGGTTCCCACACAGGAGGGGTAATCTACCCGCCGTAGATGCTCCGGGGTACTTCGGGTATCAGGGATTTCCTTTCTAGGATACACCTGGTTCCTTGGCTACTGGTACCCGAGACGGCGTGTGGTTTTTAGTCGGTTCAAGTCCGACATAGCCACCGGTAGGTGGTATCCGAGGGGATTTCCGCACGGAAAAAAAAGGGTGTAATTTATCTATAATATGTATGTATTTAGTATAAGCATGTTTATCAGCAGTTTGGTATAAGACGGCCGTGTTGAGATGTGTGAACTTTATATTATTATGTTACTGAAATACTCACGAATTCTGCAAGTCGGTGCTCTTGAGCAAATAAGGCATGATTGCGTTGGTGATCGCCCTGAGATAGTTAAGTTCAGCATTTCTGTTAGCTGCCGCGGGGTGCAGCGCTAGCTTCGAGTCCAGGGCCTCGCCGGACGGCAGCCGAGCACATGACGAATAGTGACGTAACGCACACGGAATCAAGCGGTTCGTTATAAAACGAGAATAATTTATCTGAAAGTAATGATAATATTATTGGCACAGCAAATGTAAGTACCGCCATCATAACCAAAACTACTTACATATAGAACACATTTTTTTTATACATATTTAAAAGTATTTGTAATTTTTAATATCATTGTAAATACGGATTCAGGAGATTATAATTAATATTTGTAGATTAATTTAATTGATTTCTAAAAATCTATAGTACCCCTAAATTTTTATTATCTTATCTTCTGGATGGTTTTTGAATTTAAAATACCTTAAGTGTTATTTTCGATACGAAGTAATTTAAAAAATATATAATTTTCAAACAGGTTATTAATGCATGCCATTATTTGGTAAGCAACAATCCTTTCAACCCAAATCGTTCCAAAAAAGAATCAGATACTCAATTCGTCAGGATATTTTAATTTCTTTAACGTTTTCCTATTTAAATTTTTCATTATCATACAAAAAGTAAATCAAAATCCAACTATCGATATAAATTGAAAAAATGTTAACTCGATAGATTATAGGTATGATTTCGAATGGCTTGTCTCTCATTTATATCTATGATCTTTATACGTAAGTTTCTGCTATGCAAATACCATAACCATATTTAAGACGGATAAAATAAGTGATGGCATTTTATTATAATGGCTGCCAATAATCACCTTAACAGCTCTGTGCAGGAGACACGCAGAAGCATACCGCAGCTGATGTCTCAGTTCATCTACAAAGAACGGCTGCAATGTGATTTTGCTGTACCAGGAGTTTATGAACTGGTCCAGGATGGCATTGTAGAACTAGAACAAAAAAGAAGACATAAATGTAGAATTATGGTAATATTAGGCCTTTACCTATGAGGTTGGTAACGCAGGTTGGCACTTACGCTTAGTTTAAAAGTATCTAGTTAAAAATTTCTTATTTTTAACTTGATACTTTTAAACCAAGTATAGTAAACGCTAACATACAAAATTACTAAATTTCAAAAATCGCCCTAAAGAGTCTCTTGGTCAATATTTAAAATCCTATGTTTACGCTCCTAGATTTTTTATCATGGCTATGCTTTGTTCTCGAAATATAAAAGTTTTTAGTCGTTATTCCATAATAAATGAATAAATAAGAGAGATTAGTACACGATTGTTCTTATAACTAGGCAATAAATAGTAACACCATCGACCTCTGTTAAAATACGTACGTGTCTATGAGCTATTATGCTCTTATCGTACCTACTTGTTGCAATAAATGAATTGTCTTCGTATAATAAACGAATGGACTGCTCTTAAACTATTACTGAGTCATCGGAGACAATTTAGTTTGATTGGTGGCAAGCGTTTAGCACAGACAGTACACGGAAATAAGAAAACGACAACAATAATAGTCCGGGAGGTACCGTTGCATTTTAGGGAGTGTTTTTACGCCGGTCGGTGGCCATCTTGTTCAATATATGTCGAATGACTGATAAGTGAACCGAGCGTCAGCTGACGCACCCGCGGTGGGTGTAGGATTGAAAGGTTCCGAAAGTGGTGAAAAAAAATAAAAAATTAAGTCATAGTACGCCGGCTGAAATTCATTTCATAAATATTTTACATGGGATAAACGATGTCAACCGCTACACGAGTCGCCACGTTTAGTAAAAACTACGAAACTAATAATAAGAACGATATGCTGAAGTTGAAAAACCGTATCGATGGAGCTATCTTTCCACCATGTAAATCGGAGCTACGCCAGCATTTACTGCGAACTTCATACATCGCGCACCTTTGGAGACATGCTCACCTTCAAGAGCCTTCTCAATTATCTCCCATTGACTGGGGATGGGAAGAAAAAGAAGACAAATATGTTTTCAAATGGTTCGAGGGATATCAAGTACCCCCATCAGTCGGCAGTATAACGGATAGCAAGCAAAATATTGCTGGTATGGATTTTTTGTTTTGACACTTTCTTTGAGCGTGTATATTCTGGTATGCGAATTTTAATGATTAACCTGTTCATTTACGGTGATGAAGAAGAGGCTCGAGATCAGGAACACGAAAAAGATGAAGAGAACAATCTGACAGACGAAAGTTCTGATAACGATTCATCTGGGGACGATGACGATAGCGATACTATCGATTACGAATAATTCTATATCGATTTCTATCTCTCTATCTCTTCTATTTTTAATTGACTTTATATTAGTTGATGATATTTCCATTTTACTCTCCATATTATTTTATATTATGCATTTCTTTCATCTATGTGAAATAAAACAAGAAAAACAGCAAAATATTTTCGTACGATATTGTTACACATGCTATAAACTTCTCGAGATTATCATTAAATTTCCAATATGCCGGTTGAAATTAGACAAGACTGTAGTTTAATAGTTACGTTTGCAAAAACAATCAGTCAGTTGGGGGCTGACAGGGGAGTTCTGTCAGCTGGACCCTGAAAGAAACTGTGCATTACTCGAATAATCTATATCCTTAGTGCGTCAGCTGACGGTCTTTCCACCGCTACCCACGCAGCTGATTCTTGTTTTCGTACTTTTGATAATTTAAACAATCAGTTAGTTAAATTTCATCCGGCGTACTATAACTTTATTTTACGTGTTTTTTTACAAGTTCAAGCGAGCGGCTGACGCATAGTCTCCCCTCCACTATGCGGCTGACGATTTTTTTTTAGCTTTGTATGATGTAAAATATTTATGAAAAGATTTTCAGCCGGCGTACTATGACTTATTTTTTCATTTTTTTTCACCACTTCCGGAACCACACACACCCGCACCCACCGCTACTTGAGCAGCTTACGGTTGGTTCACTTATTGGTCATATTAGATCAACCATCGATGACAATATCAGCCGGCTTACTATGAATTTTTCATTTGCAACGGTACCTCCCGGACTATAACTATTAAAAGTATTTAGTACTAAACTTAAAAATTGTTTCTAATTTTTTAGCTATTTTTTAAATATATGACTGATTTTTGTGGTATACAATGCTGTATTATTTATTCCCCGGTATATTTTCCACCATAATATTTACTCGTTTTCGTACGTATCTCTTAACACTTAGATGTTAAAAACTGTGTAAGTAATTTTAAAACATCAATATTGCAGTCGTGTCTATTTATGTACATCTGAGTTCATGATATTATAAGATAATTACAGTTTAAATCATACAATAAATCTTAAATATGCATTCACGCATGCATTACGTCGTAATCTGATTTTCACTTTAATAGTTAAACTGGTTTGACTAAGTTTTCTGTACGATAATAGTAAGTATATACGATATCTAGAACCCCATAGTTGTACACTGTATCTTAGTTTTGACTCCACTAGGGCCTGGTATACTTATTTTAGTATGGGTACACTAACCTCGTCTCTTAAACTTCCAATGGCATTGAGCATTATTTTTTAACTATCTGCACTGTTGGCCGTCGATTAAAAAAGTATTATACTCGTATTTGTCTTTTTGGAATTTAAAACTAGTTTATTAGAGTTAAACTAGTTGTTAAATCCAAATAAGCGCTTATTACCGCATTTGTAGACATTTTAAGAAAATTTCTTCATTGTTTGCTTCAAAATAAAAAAGCTTCACTTGTATGTTTGTTTGTAACCGACTCCTTTGGGCGTGATTTTGAATGACTTTAAACGGTCAGAATTCGTTCAAACTTTATAGATATATCGAGGACCGATGACAATACTAATTTAAAAAATAAAAAAAATTGTTTTAAAAACTAAAAACAAGCACCCCACGCTTTTTTTCAAATTTATTAAAATTTATTTTCTATTTTTTAGTTAGTTTTTCTATAAAAAGAGTGTTTTTTAGGTTTTTAAAACTATTATTTTTTTAAATACACACTAACGCGCATGTAATTAACTCAATTTACCTTAATCTTACACACTTGACTTGTTTGGCGGAGGTACTTAACTGGGTGTAAGGTTTCTTTTCTTTAGTTTTTTTTTAGTTCTATGTTAATCTGACACGCTCGAGTAAATCCAGAAATCCCTTCTAGGGCTCCCCTACTATTATGTCTTGAAGCATAACTCTCCCAAGGTTAAAATTTTATTCATTGATATTGATGTATTTTACGTAGCAATGTTGGTTATAGTCACAGAAATCGATTTCTTAGGTTATTTAAGAGTGTCTTTAAATATATATGGCTTGGTTTTAACTTACAATGTAACAAATACCTACTTTGAATCAAACCAATAACTTTAAGTGTGGCTGATAACGATTGTTATGTTCCATTAGTTACAATTAAAATAGTTTTACACAATGGCATTGTTACTAAAGCTGAAAGTACATACACAGATAACATATTGGCAGATGAATAAATTGGTATTGACGTCTGCAGTTCTTTAAATGTGGAATGCCGTTTGGGTGAGGCCCATTTAGTAGTAGGACATGTCCACTTAAATGTGTGAGCGACCCCTAAAGGAGCAGACAGAGGATTGCCAAGCACCTCTAAAAACTCTTTATAATAATAATAACCTCACACAAATTACACACGGGCGTCTGTTCACAAAGTAGACAGAGCCTGTACTATGGTAACCAGACCGCTGATAAATATGTTTCTAGACACAGGACAGTATAAATATCATGATCATGCCATAGGGTGGAATTAAAAAAAAAACCCACGAGCTTTGACTTAGCAGTCAGGGTCACAAACCACTAGACCAACAGTCCCGTCAAGTCAAAGACAATAAGTTGTGATAGCAATGTTTAAACGTTTGTCAGTTTTAAACCTACTACAGAAATTGTGCATAACTTATTTCTGTAAAAATCTGAGTTTTACAAGTTGATATACAATACTATACTTAATAAAGCGTCGTGCATTTTTTATTCTTTTCAACAACTCATGTCTAGTAATTAAAACGATAGGTTAAAATGTTTTATTTGTGTTGCAACACAAAGAGCGATAAAGGCCAAAGTTCAAGGTACTAATCTAACACCAGTAAATTTAATTGAAGGAAACAACTACGTATCGTACATCATTGTAATCTTTTTGTTTGGTCAATAAATCAATGGTCTGCACGGATGGTGTAGTGGTTTAAGCGGTCGACACGCCGCTTTCTACTACGCTCAGTGTTGTGGGTTCGGTTTGGGACGACACTTTGTGTGATCCATTAATTGTCGTTCTGAGTCTGGGTGTTTTTTTGCGTCCATTTCATGTATGTTTGTAAAGTCCCCCGCGACACAGATTACGAGTATATCCTAGTGCGGGAGTTGTAAAAAAAATGTTTATTGTTCATATTTTGTGCGTGCCCGTATATTTAATTCAAGAATGACAGCAAATAAAAGGACGATGAAAAAATAAAAGACACTAAAAAGACCAAACTCTCTGTACAAAAGAATAATTTATAATAGTATTACAATCTGAAGAATTTGTTTGTTTGTTTAGAAAAATATTTTCGTGTTGGATAGCCCATTTATCAAAGAGGGCTATATAACATCTCGCTACGACCAATAGGAGCAAAGCATCAAAGAAAAATGTTGCAAGAGCGAGGCAAATTTATTCCTTTAAGAGACGCAGACGCAGTTGCGCGTAAGAAGTCAAATCTTGTTTTGAAGATACTGTCACATTCAACACTGTAAAGTGGCGCAACACAGTTGTTGTCTATTTTTTTTTTTTTTTTTTTTTATACTTGGATATTTTCTCTTACACTCGCAAAAACTTCGCGAAACATTCGTCTTATACTAGTGCGTTTGCATAGTGTCCAACAGTTGGCCACTATTGCTTTCAAAGCTTTTTCAGATTCGGCAGTCAATATAAATATATCAATGACTAATAACCCTATTTAACCAATTAATTAATTGGAACGGATACGAATATGACATATTTACGAGAACGATTAATAAAAGGAAACGAATGCAGTTTATAATAATATGCACTTTGTATCAACTACAAGTACAAGGGGCGGCAATTCAACGAAATCATTACATCAGAGAGCAACACTATTTACGTAACATAATGAGCTGTCAGACGTAATTTGAATGCATAGCCTGTCACACAACTCCGTATAACGATCTCAGATACTCATAGCGTCTGTTGTTCTGTTTCCCACATCGCTCATTGTCTCTAATGGTAAGGTTGAAACCTTGTTGTAATGTTTTTATTCTAATTTTGTTGTATGTTTTGTAAGAGATGTATAGGACGTAAAATACAACACCGAGATTAGGGTATCATATTTTTTTAATAGGACCTAACGAGTAAACGAGTTACTGGATTCGAAGTGACTACCGCCGTTCACAGACGCCTGCAATTCAGGAGTCACAAGCCGAATTGCCGGCCTTCAAGTTAAGAGTACGCTCTTTACTTGAAGGTTGGAGGTGGTATCATCATCATCAACAGCCTTTAATAGTCCACTGCTGGACATAAGCCTCTCCTTAGAAAGGAGGTTTTGGCCTACTATACCACGCTGGCCAGACGGGTTGGTATAGGGTTTGGCATGTCGTGCGGTGTTCCACAGGGGTCTGTTCTTGGACCCCTCTTGTGGAACATAGGGTACGACTGGGCCCTTCGCGCCGATTTCCCCCCCGGGCTGGGTGTAATCTGTTACGCAGACGATACCCTGGTGACAGCCCGGGGGGCAAACTTCCAAGAGGCGGCGCGCCTGGCCACAGGGGGAGTCTCCCTGGTGGTCGGGCGCATTGAGGCGCTGGGCTTACGGGTGGCCCTAGATAAGACGGAGGCCCTGTTATTTCATGGGCCCCGTCGTGGTCCACCCCCTGGCGCCTCAATCGTGGTCAACTCGGTCCTCGTACCGGTTCGGGCCCAGATGAAATATCTGGGCCTGATCCTCGACGGGAGGTGGCTCTTCGACGAGCACTTCCGACAGCTTGCTCCAAAGCTGGTCGGCGCTGCGTCTGCCCTAGGGCGACTTTTGCCCAATATGGGTGGACCCAGCGTCGCGACAAGACGGCTGTACACGGGGGTTGTCCGGTCAATGGCACTGTACGGTGCACCGGTGTGGGCGGCGGCTCTGACCGCCCAGAATAGGGTACGCCTCTGGCGCCCTCAGAGGGTAATGGCGGTCAGAGCCATACGCGGTTACCGCACCGTTTCGACGGAGGTGGCATGCGCGTTGGCCGGAACTCCCCCGTGGGATTTGGAGGCGGAAGTGCTCGCCGAAGTTTATTGGCGAGTGGCTGACTCCCGGGCGGAGAGCGGATTTCGCCCTCCGCCCGAGGATGTGCGCGAGTGGCGCGAAGCCGCTCGCCGAGCCACGATGGCTCGTTGGTCGTTCCGGCTGGAGACTCCACGCGCTGGCTTCGCCGCCGTGGAGGCTCTCCAGCCGGTCATCGCCGAGTGGGCAGGGCACGGGACCCTTTCCTTCCGGCTGACGCAGGTGCTTTCCGGGCACGGTTGCTTCGGGAAGCACTCGGTCGCTAGGAGGGAACTGAGTCCCGCCTGCCACCACTGCGACTGCAGTGAGGACTCGGCCCAGCACACGCTGGCGGTCTGCCCCGCATGGGCGGCGCAGCGCCGGGCCCTCACTGCAGTCATCGGAGTGGATCTCTCGCTACCGGCCGTAGTACGCTCCATGGCCGGTAGCGACAGTTGTTTTACCGCGGTCGCAACCTTCTGCGAGGTAGTAATCTCGCGGAAGGAGGCGGCGGAGAGGGCCCGGGAGGACGACCTCCACTCGGACCCGATCCGCCGCCGGCGAACCGGGCGGCGGAGGCCCGCCTATCACAGCCTCATGCCGCCCTGAGTGTGGCCGCGGGTGGACGGGGTGGGTTTCCCCTCCACCCGCATTAGTTTGGCCAGCCGCGAGGGGGCGGCGTCCGCGTGTGCCGGACGTCGCCTAAAAAGAGAGGAAAAATATCGAGACGGAGCCGGATGTCTTAACAACAGCTGTTCCCGGATCCCTCCTGTTACAGGCGCAGAGTGGCACACCGTGTGGTTTTAGTCGCTCCGAGTCCGACACACCACCCCGCCGCAAACCCCGGAGGGGTGACGGTCCGAGGGGATTTCCACACGTTAAAAAAAAAAAAAAAGGGTTTGTGTCAAGTTTTCCTTCTCTCTGCAGTGCTGTTGTTCTGCGTAGTTTTTCCACTTAGTCGGCTCTTACGACACCCACGGGATGAATAGGGGTGTTGACACTCTGTATTCTTAATCCGTCACCACACGGACCTCTTACGACACCCACGGGACTTACGACACCCACGGAACTTACGACACCCACGGGAGGTGGTGGAGGAGGAGGTGGTATCGGTCCGAACATACCGCAATTTGTTCTACAGATTGGAGTAATGCACCACACAGGAGATTAAAAAGTGTGGACAGTTTTATCATGTGAGTCCGGTTATTACCCAACTTTCGCTCCAAATAAATAAAGTGCTTTTTTTGAACAAGTGCGACGTCTCACTAAATTTTGCAGTTCAATTCTCATAATGGTTGAACATCCAGTCCGATAAGTGACTAATCACTTTTCTCAGAAGCCTTCTTAGTGTTTGCCTTCGATTCATATTACACCCTATAATACGGTTGTTTTATTTACGTATAACTAACGTATAACTAACTTACTTATTTTAGCTAAGTGAACAGAGCATGTCGGACAACAATTTAGAAGAAATATTTCGTAGGTTTGAAGTTTGGGTTTTCTTTGTTTAAATAATCTTGCTATTATAAATAAAGCTCACATTTCAACAAAGACCGAGAGGCAGGAATGCTGGCAGAGCATAGTCATACTCACATCTTCTATTGCTTGATCTAATTGCTTGTGTATTTGGAGTCCCACCCAAGGTTCTGCTGATATACTAGAGTCATGTCTTGCGCAGTCCTTTGACCCGCAAGTCTCGCAACCCTGTAAACAAATTTAATTATGCAAAGGCGGAATGCAAAGTTTATGGCCTGATATCGGTGAGTCCCAAATTAAGCAAAATTTTTTGACGAACCAAAATTTGCTTTGTTATCAGCCAATCGTTATCAATCTCGATTTGTTGGACTTGTCAAAACGAATGAAGAGTCTATTATCTACCTGTTCACCTGTTCATCTGCCATCATCAGATCAGCTACAACATTCCAAATTGAAGTATTGCCATCCAAACTACATATACTTACGTATAAAGATGTAGCTTAAAATTTAAGTACTTCTAAGATGTTTACGTAGTTAATCATTCATTTACAAGTGAAAGTAATAAAAGCTTAGGTAAACGTGAAAATAAATATACAAACTTATGTCGAGAATATTAACAACATTCGATCCAACGTGCGCTACAATAAAAATTTAACCGTGGTTGTATTACTAGGCGACCCTAGACTGACATCGTAGATTAGCGACGAAAACGTCGAGAATTAATATGGTTTAGTAAAGAAAGCCGAAAAATGAGGGAGTTCGCTGAGATTGTAGGTATCTCCTATGAACGAATACATAATATTATTGACAACAAATTGGGCTTTTCCAAGGTGTCAGTGCTATAAATATTCAAATGATTTCAGTAAAGCAAAAGCGGACGTGAGTCACTATTTCTCATGAAGGTTTGGCTTTATTTAAAGTCGATAAACTGATATTTTTACTCTAGTTTATTATCATATCACAATTTTGAAACAATATCAGCTACAAAGGAAAAGACCCAGACTTTTGACGATGCCTAGACAATTTTGTAAGTAAAATAAGGTCATCATCATAATTCTTATCAGGCAAAGATATTGATCTTCATGAATTACCCTAAAAAGGGTCCAAACAATCAATTCCACTTTTTATTGCTCATCGCTGCATCATTTGCAAGATGAAGTAAAGGGACTCGTCCACGAGTGATAAGAAAAAGGTCATTGCTTTATCATGATATTGCTCACACATTGGCCACACAACGGGCAAAGTATCATTGCTGATGCAAAATCGCTCCTAGAAGCCTGTGAACGCCCCAGAAGGCTTCTGCGCTTCTGGAAGATGCTTGGTAGGCTCACCTAGCTAACCAATCCTCGACGCATAAAGGACCACTCTGGAGTCTAAATGCGGAAACCGAAGCTCACAACCAATACCAATACCAATGATATTGCTCAAGTAAACCCATTTATACAGAAAGACTGATATTCATAATTCTAGTTTTGAATTACTTCTATACACTCCTTTTTATAAAACTATATTCAGGTCCATGTCCATTATTTTTCACTCTTGCCAAGTTTAAGACTTTGGTAGTGAATATGTTGAAACAAAAGAAATACTGTAGTCAGTCTTTTTTTTGTTTTCATTTCCTAATACATCTACATAGGGTCTGCAGTACTTGCACAATACGTAAACCTTGTCAAAAATCCAATGGTAAAAACATCATACAAATTTCTCGAAATTGTGTTTCCAATTTTATGCATAAAGTGTGTAGTATAATGTATCACATCACATCAACAGCCTTTAACAGTTTACTGCTGGACATAGGCTTCTCCTTAGAAAGGAGGTTTTGGCCTACTATACCACGCAGACCAGACACATTGGTATGGGTTTTTTTTAAACTCGTTTTTTGCACATATAAATAATGCAAAAAAACATTGATTTTCTTATCATTATTTTATTTCCTCTACAATATTAACACAGAGAAAATATACAACAATTTTTTTGCAGCTTTCAATCATTCTGAACTAACAATTTGTTAATTTGCCTGGATATAATATATATTACCTCCAATAGCCTTATAACTGTTAAGATCTGAATTAAATGAGTACACCTGCAGCATTATAAAATCACAGTTGTAGTTAGTTTAGTTGTTCATTTTTTATTTAACATCTATAAACAAATCATACTAAAGATTTTGTAATCAAAGCCACTATGATTACTGAATTTGTAGGAAGTCATTATAGGGAATTATTTTCAGAGTACTTTAATTAAGATAAAAACATTGACCAAATTAGTTTTTAGATAAAACTACACAATCATATTATATAAATAGTATATTATACTTCTGTGATATATTTATATTAAAGTAAGTAATCAATTTTTCAATAAAATAATGATGTGTACAAAATGATACCTATCTAAACATAATAGACAATTATTACTAAATGGTACTGTATTCAAGTACTAGATAAGATGAAAGTCATTGATAAGGCTGGAAGCTGTAACATTACATGAGAGTGTATTTAACAAAACCTGTTATCTCCCATAACTCATAACACTCTAATTAGAAAACCAAGTCTAGATATTGTTAGTACTTTGTTCAACAATTTATTAATTTAATACTACTAATAAGTAACTATAAAATCTATAACTATAGTTAATTATTACTGAATCACTTTATTAAATTACAAAGATAATTGCTTATCTTTAGAAAAAAGTTGACCAAGGAGGCGTACATGACCCATTTACTAAATAACGAGTTTCCTAAGGCGAGTAAACAGTAAACAATTAAAGTTTTCCCACCTACCTTAACAGTTGCATCTTCTTTTTCTTCAAACGTCTCATCGACAAAATGGCACTTTAATTTATTAATATACTCGTGTAAAATATTAGAATTGAGCCCGTAATAACAAGCCAGACATCCCAACACATAGCTAAATGCTATAGTGGCAAAGTGAAATCTAAAAGAAATCGTATTATCGTATTAATGTGGTTGATCATAAAAAAATTATAAATAGTTTTGATTCAAAACTGATACCTGTAAAAATATAAAACTGCGACCGTCGTGCATATAACTCCGAAGAAAATAATATAATTTTTATTATCAAATTTTTCTGTAAACTTCGTTTGACATCTTTCACTCATGGCTAAGCGAATAATGACGTTTGGTTTGACGTATTTGACACAGTTTGCACGTATATTATGTTTTTATAATTGTTAATCCAGTTGCATGTTTCTTTTCTGCAATTAAAAATTCTTACAGGATAATAAAAGCTGCAAAGTGTATAAGAGACCACAAATAGTTATAGTTTTTATAGTGACTGTTGCTTGAGAGACACAATTATCTAAAAAAATAAAGATGTTAAGACACACACTGGTGTGTCTTAACATCTTTATTTTTTTAGAAAGTTCGAATGTAACTTATATTTGTACCCATTTATATATTATGTATATTAATGTTGAAGTTTTTTAGATCCCAAAATCTGTTGTCTATTTTTGGATTGTAAAACTATGTGTCTGATAATAATAAATTTTCTTTAGTTATTTCATAGTTTTATTTTATGCGAATACCCTTACCTTACCATGCAAGTGTCTAAGTGTCTTGTAGGTATCCGTGTGATGGCGAATTAAAACTACGGAGTGTCACCACTCCTATTCATTCCGTGGGTATCGTAAGAGCTGACTAAGGGCGCAAGATTAGTAAATTTTGAAAATCTGAGTTTTTTTTTATTTCTTAGTAGTAATAATAATAATCCTCAAGATCATTTACATCTTCTGAGATAAAAATTATTATAGTTAAGGCTACAGAGCGTGCCAAAGAAAAATACATACAATAAATACATCTGCCTGTATGTATTTATAATTGTTGTATGTATTTAAATTTATTAGTTGTATATATAATTTACTGTAAACGTATATATTAGTAACCTTATGTTTCTTATTAGTATTTCTTTTTATTTTTTCAATATCCGTATAAAGGTTGTCTGTAAGAGATCGCCATGAACGATAAGACCGCCTATTGTTATACCAAAATGTATTTAAAATCTGTATATATAATACTTAAATGGTGTACAATAAAGAGATAAATAAAGTAAAAACATATATTCGAAACAGAAAACCCTCTTTGTGGCGTAGTCGGGTAATATTGTTCAACAAGAACAAAGCATATATTATGTTTTTTATTTATTTTTTTCATGGAAGAGGCATCAGACGAGCAGTCGGATCGCCTGATAAAATGTAAGTACCTTCTTGAAGGTTTGAAGGTCGTATCGGTCCGGAAATACCTCGAACGATAACTTGTTTCACTGATTAGTTGTGCTAGGCAAAAGTGTCTTGAAAAGCACACAGTGGTAGAGCACCAATTTTCCAAGGGATTGGGATGAAAATTTTGCTTAGATCCGATAGATGGTGTTGTGCGATTTGCTGAATCGCGTTATCAAAAATCTACGTCGTATTGTATAAATCTTTACTAACTAATCAAACTAAATTGTCTTTGAGAGTTAAACACGAACTTCCCGGCGCGCGTGATTAACTCTTACAGACTCTCGTCATGTCATCGAATTTCGGGATATTGTGATTATTCAGGGCGTGGAGTTATTTACCAACAAACTTAACATACTATGTTTTTTCTAAAAATTGATTGTGTACGTATAGTAATTAAATTGCAAGCTTGTAGCGGGTAGTTTTTTATTTTAGGTATAAAATATAACTTTGACTTTTTGGGTGATCTGAGGATTTAATTTAAATAAATGTCATTTAAAAGATAAATGCCATTTGAAAGACAAATTCTATTTTAAAATATTCTGCATCATTCTTATGGCCCGGGTAACTCACACCCAAACTCCTCCAAGAAGTGCTGAGGCGGGTAAGGTACCTAAGCTATAACGTATCATACTTATCTTATTACCTGTACATTTCCTAATTATATATCTATCTCTGTTCATTTAAGAAGTTTCGCTATATTAATTATAAACTTCGTACATTCCGTTACTGTTTCCAATAATAATATTAATGTTATAAAATTTCATTCTATTCAACCCCCGACGGAAAACGAGGACTATATAAGTTAAACATGTGTATCTGTCGGTGGCATCATAGCTCCTGAACGGATGGACCAATATCGATGCGGATTTTTTGTTCGAAAGCCAATGTAGTCGAGATGGTTCTTAGCTATAAATTTTGAAGACCATCATCTCACTTCCTAGGTGAAATCTAAATCTTCTCGCTAAAATCCATAGGTCCGATTGATATGTAATTTGGTATACTGTAACTTTGATGGTATTGCCACGACGTCCACAGTCAGACCACGGTACTATTATAATACAGTAGTGTAACTTGGCCACATGATAGAAATAAATGCCTACAGCCGCGCGGTACGTAAACATGCGTTAGGGCTGCCCGTCTCCAGCATTTTATTTATATTTGCCTACTTTCTGTTTCTATTTAGATTTGTGATTGTAAATATCCTTTTTATATAAATAAATGAAATACGTTGTATATTGAATAGGAAGTGAGCCCGCGATAAAAGCTGCAATAGCTTAAAAATCCTTCTATAGAATAAAAAAATGTGCTTTCTCCTTACGCGTTACAAAACTCCAATCCTTAGAAACTCCAACACCTACCTACTCAACTAGAATGCAAGAAACAGCTGACGAGTAAGTAACTTTTTATCTCAGCTTATTAACGTCTCCATAAATTAGGTACCTACCTACAACTCAAAACAAAAATTCTTTGGTCACCAATTAATTAATTATTAAAAAGCTGAACAGCTGACTACGAATGTTTTAAAATCACAACCCTCAAACATCTAAATCTATACGAATATTTTAAAGCTGAAGAGTTTGTTTGTTTGTTTGTTTGAACGCGCTAATCTCAGGAACTACTGGTCCGATTTGAAAAATTCTTTCAGTGTTAGATAGCCCATTTATCGAGGAAGGCTATATATCATCACGCTAAGACCAATAGGAGCGGAGCACCAATGAAGAATGTTTCAAAAACGGAGATAATTTATTACTATTGAGAGACGCAGAGGAAGTTGCGCGGGTCAGCTAGTATTATATATGAGTCTAGCTGTTGTTGTTAATACCAAGAAAATGAAACCAGTTTTTAGTGGTATATGTTGTTATAGTAGCAGCAGAAACACTTTGTGAAAATTTCGAAAACTATCTAATGACACACAGACGGTAAAAAATTGTTTCTAGTATTATTCATACACACAGATAATAAACAAATATTATTAAAAATAAAATACCACGTCTTTACTTTGAATTATGCAAAGTAACAAAACACACATGCACCGAAATTTTAACACAAGCGTAAGTAGGTAGGTACCTACCGTATCATGGTTCATTCAGAACCGCATATAACTACCTATTTCACTCGTCTCAATAACTTTCCGTTACTCTATTCGCTTTATTAATCCAAACACCTTTTTTTTCGTAAGATAAAAGGAAATACTTATCCATTAAAAAGACACACATTATGTACCTACCTACTAGTAAGTAAAATTATTTTATAGTCTTACCTTTCAGAGTTTCCAGGTAATTTAAAAAACTTATGTCTGGATGCGTTATTGACGAATTCATACAACCAAAAACAGCACAATATTTCCTACTCGTCATATTAACTGATTTTTAGAGAAAAAATCGCGCGGTTATTGTTAAAAAAAAACAACACACCGTCCGTTCGACACTGCGGTACAGCCGTGATTGTCTGCGCCCCGAGCGCACCCCGAGATCGAGGCGCGTAGGTATAGCTCGCGTTTCGTCCGTTTGTATGAAGTTGGAGTACTGTATTATAATTGTACCGTGGTCAGACTGCGGGACAGTCAACTCCTTAGGAATTGTTTAAAGTTTTTTTGTGTTGGGGATTTTTTATTTGGTTGTTATTATTATGTACGATTAATTATAAAATTCTTCTTAACTAATAATACAAAATTACGATTTATTTGACTCATATTACAATAATTAACATGAACTTTGTTTTAAAATAGCCGTTTAGAAATGGACGATTGTAACACAATAATTTTCTGACCATTCTGATTGACCTGTCAGCTGTCAAATTTTATTTTATTGATTCTGAATTGTAAATTGTAACCTCAGTTTCATCATTTTGGATGAAATTTATTTATTAAAATACATCAGATCTTATAATTATTCAGGAAGGAAAACTTACAAAAACCACAAAAGTTTGTAAGTAGCATCGTAGTACTATATCGTTGTGTTAAAGTAATACTGGTGTACTTTTTAACAATTTCATATGCATTAATTGTAAACTGTCGGTAAAATAACATAATAATTCAGTTTTAATTTACTTAGTTAAGCTACTTTATACAGACCACCTTAAATTACACAATTAACGTAAAGACTGTTAGTTAGTAGTTAGTAAAGTATTAAATCTCTTAAAAATAATTTGAGAAGCATTTATATAAGATTTTCGCTTTTTGTTGTAACTACCTGTTATTGTTGCTTGTTATTACTATCCAGTCCATACATTTACCTCGAAACTTGCTTTAAAGTGAATATTGATATCGTAATGAACAAAATCTAGTCCTATCAATATACACGGTGATTTTTTAGGCGTTTTGGAAACGAAACATTTGAATTTGGAATCATCTATAGTACCAATAAAAATGATTAAATCAATTGTAATGTTGTCTAAAAAAAAGTTTCAGTTTTAATATTCATTTTTACTCGATCGACTTGGAAAGTAGTAGTGGACTGATCATTCATTCATTATCTTATATGAATGAAACACGTCCGTGGGCGTTTCGGCGGCAGCTGCGCACCGCCGACGCTAACAGCAGCTGATAAAAGTATACCTATAGGTGCGAGCTAGCGAGTACTTACGTAGATAGACTCCAATTTGTCCTTCATACTTTACACGGGCTTAGGATCGTCAGAAATACCTATTTTATTTAAACTTCGATTATTAACCACGATTGTTCTTTTCACAACAAATCAATTTATCAACGGACTGTAGGTATAAATATTTCAAGCGTATTTAAGCTATCTACAGAAGAATTAACTTACATACCTATTTACACTATTTACACTTCTCTGTATCGAAGCAACTGCTCAAAATGGAGTCCGCTGCATTCAATACACAAACGTCCACGTTTAATGCAATTGTTTTTTAATTTTCTTAATGTGTCTCTATCACTTTTCACTTTATCAAAAGCGTCCACTATCGCAATGCGTAAATTATCACGGCTTTCATATTCCCATGTATAAACAAATATTTTTATTTCCGACCATAAGAAAAAATCCAGGGGCGTTAAGTCCGGGTTTCTAGGTAGCCAAGGCACTGGCCCTCCTCGACCTATCCACCGATCACTAAACTCATTGTCCAGGTATGCACGCACTACACTCCGGCGAATAATAATTTAAACGTCCTTGACCTTGCGCGTGAGCGCGCGACCTTTATGTGACTCGATATTAAAACGCATAGTATGTATTTCTATTCGTAGTATTTACCTACGTGTGATTGAATAGCCTACTACTACTGGTTCTCACTTTTTCTCTGTAAACGATATGAATATCGACTTTGATGATAAAAAATATATATATTTTATTAAATTAACGTTATATATAGCTTCTGTTACTGATAAATAACTCAAAATTTTCTTTTCCAAAACGCTTTCAAAATCACCGTGTATACATATTTTCATTATATCATTATTAATACTAGTATTTGGACTAGTATTATGCTTTTAGAGAAGCTACTGGACCTTGCAGAAAACCTTTTAGCCACTGAATTACTGCTTCAAATACATGGTTATTGTTAATGCTTGTTATAGAAATATTAACAGGGTCTACAGTGTGACCGCTATGTCACCATAATATTCCTGATAATATTTGACTGATTCTGTTTTGTCAAAAATCATTTCAGAATTAACCTATTCATTCTATTTTTTTATTAACTGGAATCTGTCTAGGAAACATGCAGCAGTTTTGGTAATGTAGTATTGCATTGTTTTGCGAGATACAGGTCCAGTGACATACTCTCTATATTGATTACTGTTAGTTCAAAATTGGCATAAAATAAGTTAGCTATTATCTTAACAGTGTCTGTGGTGACAGATTAAGAATATGGATTGTCACCACCCCAATCAATCGGAGTCATAAGAGCCGACTAAGGGAGCAAACTATGCAGGACGAAAAAACTGCAATAAGAAGAAAAACTTGACACAAACCCTCCTCTCTAAGGCCAAAACCTCATTTCTAAGAAGAGGCCTATGTCCAGAAGTGGACTAGGCTGTTGATGATTACAGTTTTACTTCATTTCATTAACAATTCATAAGAAAAGTAAAATGTCCAATTTGATGATGAATAAGAAGTATCTCTTAGGTCTGGTCTGCAGTGCCTCTTTTAGATATGCAACAAATTCCAAAATGCTTTTCAATGTCATCATTAGTGTATCACCGTGCACTGCTGAATAAAGAAAGAATTAATTTATACTCACTTATTTTTACTTTTTGTTCATTCCTTTATGCTTTCCATTATTTAGATACTTACTTTACTTATAGTTTAGTTTGATAAAACTTAATGTAAATAAAATAAGTCAAATGTCAATCTCTGAATATAAATTAACATCTTATCACTTTATCACATGACTTATAATGTTGTTGAATGTTTGAGTGCATATGCTTTAATGTTGGGCTAATTAATCTACTTTACTCACCCAAAACTGAAAGTATATATTTCAAACTGTAAAACTCAAAGAAAAACTGTAAAAGTGAGCGTTTTATACACCAGGCTCCCATAAAACTTAACTTTGCCTTTTAATATTAAAGTTAATATTGTTTAAATTTAATCACTTGAATTTCCATACATTACTAAAACATTTTAACAGACAGATAAACATAAAAATTATCCTTTTCTTAGGATTAGAACCTTAAAATATGTGCCATGTCATGTACATTCCTGTGTAGTATAGCTGATCATGACGTAGCAGTGTGGTATAGCCTATAGATGCTTGCATTTAATTACCATACCAATACAATGCCTAAAAAAAGTAAGTCTAAATGTAAATACATTTTTTTCAGTGAGGATGATTCTGCAAAAATGTTTACACCTTACCAAACAATACTTATCAAGATCTACCCTTCTCAGGTCAAACATAAAACAGACTTACTGTGAGCTATACCATAAATACAGTAGTCAGTCTCCAAGATTATTCACAGATAGACATGAGTGGGTAGTTGTAGATCAAGATATTGGAACTGTTGGCATAAGTCAATATGCACAAGAATCTCTAGGTGATATAGTGTTTGCTCAACTGCCGGAAATGGGCTCGAATGTAGCAGCTGGCGATGAATGTGGAGCTTTAGAAAGTGTCAAGGCTGCTAGCGAAATATATACTCCTGTCACTGGTATAATTACGGAGAGAAACAATGAAGTAGAAAATAAGCCTGCATTGATAAATACTAATTATTATGACAAGGGTTGGCTTTTTAAAGTGAAGTTGACAAAACTAGAAGAACTAGAAAGTTTAATGACTGAAGAGGCTTATGAGAATTACCTCAAAACTGATGTTGTCAAAGGTTGATAAGTAGGTAGGTAGATTAATTTTGGTTTGTTATCTCACTAGTTAAATAAAGTTATGTTTGCATTTGTGAGTTTTCTTTTAACTATACACAAAAACGAGAGTACTTGTTGTGCATTATCTTTTTAATTGTGCTATATCAACTATAAAAATAATGGAAAACACAATAATTATTTTGGCATCAAATAGTCGGCCTTAATGGCAGCATTATTTACATATTATCACATTTACTTTGAAATGTATTTTTCCAACAACATATCTAATACATATCTTTTAAATCAAAATCACATCATTTAAGTAAAAAAAAATTACAAAACATTAGACTCAGACAGGATATTTTATCCTGAAGTTTACATGATAAAGTGCTTTGAAATAGAAAAAAATATAAAATTTTACACTCGGTGTCAATCTCTCAGCAGTATCTTAAATCATAACTGCACATTCCAACACTACTTGGTTTAACTATTCAACTAAATAGATATATTGTAATATTAGCATACAAACAACTAATTCCAAGTTCCTATTCCACCTTTTTAATTCTGTTAAAAGCCCGGAAATCCTACAACTTAGTGTGTTTGATTTAAGAGACATTTTGTTAATACAAAGGGGGTATAATATTTACATGACTACATAATTTGGTGCTCTATTTTCATTAAAAGAGTGTATAAATAAAATAGAATGAACGTGAAACATTGTAAATATTGGCAGTGCATATACACCATATATGAAAAAAGAGAATTTCCTCATTTTTAATAAGTATTATAATTATGTTAAGTTTATATAAATTAACAATATAATATGTAGGTCACTGACTGACTCACGTCAGTATATGTAGGTTAAATATCGTTAATGAACATGGTCAATGCATTATAGGAACAAATCGTTGCGATTGCAAGGATATCGACGTAATGCAAAATACTGTCAAATTAAACAAACTCATAAATCTTTCACATTTTACTGTGAACAGAAATGCAACAGCAATTTTAGTCATTACTTATTTAACAGAAAACAATAGGTTAAATGCAAACTCATTGCCATTCTTTAAATCAATAAGTTTTAGTTCCGTTGTTATTCTTGCAATATCTATTTTTTTACTAGATATAAAATATTATTTTATCAACTGCAATTTTCTACTCAGAGTTTTGGGTAAATTAACATTAAACTATTGATACTAAAATTTATGGCAACTATACTGTTTTAAATACTTTTTGTGCATTATTCCTTGGTAATTTTAACATATGATGTAAATATTTGTATATTATACATAATACTATCCCTACTAATACATTTAATGACTAACATTTATATATAAAATATTATAGATAATGAAAACTGTCGTTTTTATAGTAAATACACTATGAAAATGATTTCTTACCGATAGGTAAATTTAGGTGACAGTGTATCTGAAAAATATTTTTACACTACATATTCATCAAAATAAAATTAGTACCTATTTAAATAGAAATGCAATGTTACTTTTCGTACCAGTTGAATACATTGTGTGCACTTAAGTAATTGAGCAACAAATTTGAGTGTACATTTTTTTGTAAGAATTTCACTTTTTTTTAAGTTGGTTAAAAACTACATTACACTTTTATATAATTCGCATATTGAATAAAGATTAATTTTGATGTTATTTTACCAGGCTTAAGTAATGTCTCAGTTCTACGTAAAAATGCTATAAATACATTATATGCTTATGCCTTTTTGTCATTTCTCCTTAAGACTTCATCTCCCCTTTCATCTTAACTATTACTATACTTTAAACATGGGACAAAATCACAGTGAACTGTGATTTATCATTCGCTTTTTGCGTACGGAGGTTAGGGTTACTAGGTAGGTAGGTCAGACGCTATTTAACAGTAAATCTAGTATTTTTTTGTTATTATGTAGGGAATAGTAGCTATATATATTATATAATTACCAGATTTACGGTGAAATAGGCGAAATAGGGTCTTAATGCATTGTCTGAAAACAGCTTATTGGCAACAACGCGTGGGTAAGTAGTAACCCTAACCTACGTACGATAAAATTTAATGATAAATCACCGGTCTTTCACAGTTCACTGCGATTTTGTCACATGCCTACTATGCTGTATTTAATATTTTATCCATTTATGTCATTGTACTTAATTCTCTTAAAACATGTTTTGACATATTAGAAGTTTTATAATTACATATTTATAATTTTTTCCCCTCGTACATACGTACCTAGGTGTGCGTATTATTATATTTGTGTGGGTCACCTGTACCACGCTTACACTAATGATTACAAGGATGCGGCCTTAACTTTTGCGCTACCAATGCATATGCAGGATTTTCTTTTGACCAGGCTGCTAATAAACATACTCACGAACATCATAATACATATTATATATAAATGACATCCAGTCAGAGAACAAATGATCGCGCACCTTCCAAAATTATTTGTCGTGGGATTAGGAATCGAACTCACGACCTCTGGTTTAGCAATTAGCATCACAAACCATTTGACTAGTAAATTGTTTCATAGTATGCATTACTGGATCCATAATTAAACTAGTAAATGAATTGGAGTTACATTTCTGTATACTTAATATATTATTATTCATAACACTGCTGTACTTTTTATTCCCGAATTTCACATACTGATTAAACACACATACAACACGAACATCCTAAGTTAAAAACATAAAAATCATTTCAGCGGTTGCGTTTATTTCTTACCATCCAATTCCGCCAGCTGCTATTCGGTTTCGGTTTGTAAGTCCACCTAACTTTAAAAGGTTTATCCAGGGAAAGGTTTACAGTGATTGTTAGTAGCCTAGTTTGGTTCTGATACGTGAACGCACAGGGTTTGACACAAGGTTGGTCGTTCACCATGACCGATTTTATAGCAGGCTGACTTAGAATGGTGATTTTGTTCAGAGAAGGAACGCCGTACCCCCACCATTGAACGCTGGATTCTAGTTCTGTTCCATTGAGCAAGAATTCTATATGGCTGTACTTCTTCTCTTGGTAACTATCTGTAAAAGGATAAAGAAACATTTAGTTTGCACAGATAATGTTGATTAAATTGAAGGTCCTTGATTTAGGGAGTACTTATTTATGGTATAGGAGGCAAACTAGCAGACAGATCATCTAACGGTGAGTGACTACCGTCGCTCATGGACAACTGGAACTCAAAGAGTCATTGTCGCCCTTAAAGCCTACACCCAGAATTATAGGGAGGGAGAGTTTTGGGGAACGGTAACCTCTCTTCACCGGATGAAAATCAAAGTACCGGTTTTCTGTGCAGCGGTGGAATGACTCCGGTGGATCTGCTACCCCATTCGACCAGGGGCAAACTCGTACGCACCAGGGACTTCCTTTCTAGGGTATACCTGGTTCCCCGGCTATTAGTACCCGAGACGGCGTGCGGTTTTAGTCGGTTCGAGTCCGACATGCCACCGATAAATACGCTTACCGTAACCAGTACATAAAAAAAAGACAGACAGCAGTGGTTCAGAGAAGTAACAAACCTTCATTTATAAATATTTTATAAAAAAATCTGGTACACAACTTACTCATACTGTCTCCATCATCCCAGTACAGTTCCCCTTCTGCTTGGTGTCTGATGTCCGGCACCACCATAAGCTGCAGGGGCGCACTGCGAGTGATTGTGGTTGTCACTGGACCTTGGGGAGGAGGAGCCTGCAGAGGAATTATTCCTCCGCCCTGAAACAATATTGCTCATTGTAAAATACTCATCATTAACTCGATGGTTGCAGTATACACATATATTTTGTGTTGGTTATTCTATACTAGCTGTCGGTGCCTTTAAGACGGTCGGTTTTGTAGTAAGATGTGAAGGCGTACCAAACAAACCCATTTATGTATGTGCGACACGCGTTAAAATACGGCTTCAGAGGCCCAAGTGCGAGTTTATTTCACATCAACTCGCTCGTCACAGTGACCGCGTTCGGCGTTGCTATTGGCCCGCACCGAAATCTTCACCAATCGCAGCGCCGAACGCACTTGAAAAAGTGCTTGCTGTCGAAAGCGAGTTCATGTGAAATAAACTTGCACTAGGGGTCGTCCATTAATCACGTGATGTTTTTTTTTACCAATTATTTAACGCCCTCCCGCCCCCTGATGATATGTGATATTTTTTTTCTCTTTATTTAACTTTTATAATACATATTTTTTATACTTAAAGTCTGCCAAACAGTATTAACAGTTTGTCGGAAGTTTTGTTTAGACTACCCCCTCCTCCCCTACCCAAACTCACGTGTATTTTTTGGAACTAAGTAAATTAAAATTTACAGGATATTATTTGTAAATACAAGTATAATCTAATAAAATTTTGGAAAATTAAGCATAAAGAAATAAAATTAAAAAACATAGAAACATATATTTGTACATAGAAATTAACTGAATGAAATCGTGCGTTCAACGAAAAATAAGTCTCCTTGTGATACTTCGTGTTTTTTTCGATCCGTCCGAGCCTCACGTGACTAATGGACTATCCCCTAGGTCCTCAGAGCCCGTCGAGGCATTCTCGCTTGGGTCTAAGACGTTGTTACGCTACGCCGGTTTTATAAACTAAGTGTTGTATAATTACTAGTATCTAAAAGTAGTAAATTATTGTGTGTTTATTTTCCAAACCACAATAGTTTAATGACAAATCTTTTTCCCTTTTACAGTTTAGTAAGGAAAGTGTAAGTAAGTTTTCATGAATGTTTCTGTACCAAATGTGAGTTTGACTTTCATAAGTTTTAACGTTACATAGAAAGTTATATGGCTGTCCATATACCTTGACAGAAACGGTCTCGTTCTCGGTAACCTCCATACTCTTGTCGACGGCTAGAAATTGTCCGTCGAGGATGTTGTACCAGCACTGGGGTGGTGGGAACACGCCGCGTGCTGTCGTGGCGCCCTGAGCCAGGATAGGCGTTATCATCACGTACGGGCCCACCATGAATTGGTCGTCTATATCGTGTAGATTATTCTGCTCTGGGGCTCTGTGATCACAAAATATATATATTTATAATAATAATAATATTCTACCACATTCACACAACGCCATCTAGTCCCAAACTAAGCAGAGCTTGTACTATGGGTACTAGATAACTGATATAAATACATATACTTTTTTTTGTAAAAGTTTGTTGTTTGTTGTTTTTTAAAAGATTATTTATATTATAGTTGTGAAAAGTGATTTTAATAAAAAAAGCTTTTGTCTAAGTAACCTATTTTTCTGGATTATTCCTATTGTTTTTTTTTGTTTTAATTTTTGATTTTTTCTAGTTCGTTTTGGATTACGTATTCCTTATCATTTGAAACATATCTTCTGATCTCGACGGGGACGCTTCGTTATATTAAAGCTCATTTTAAATGTTGACGTTATGTTAAATATATAAAAACATAAGTAAGACAAACGGAGCCCTCACTCGAAGAAGAGCGGCCTGACGACGGTGTCCCCTTGCACGTGCGCGCGCCAGAACAGCGTGTAGTAGTAGGGCAGCAGCTCGTAGCGCAGCCGCAGCGCCGCCCGGCTCGCGCCCGCCACCGCCGGGCCCAGCGACACAGGGTCCTGGGGCTGTACATCGGTACTACTCATTATTGATGTCCAATGTCTAATGCCGACTGCTAGGGTGGCGACGCGTCGCTATGGTATACGTCGCCACGCTGGGTGATACTAGATGTGTGTTTATTTCGAATCTACCGAGCTCATTTTGTCTAACTACGAGTTCGATATCTCGAAGCTAAGAATTTATTTTATTATAAGAAACGAGCGAGCCTTAATAGTACTCGCATATGATGTGTAACAACTCACATCTTAGCTACCACGTGACGACCAACGTTAATACCGCGCATAGTCATCGATCCACTCTGTCCCTGTTACACACTTCCGTCCCCTTTTCCGTAATCACTTCCACAGACGGTAAAATATGAGACGAAAGATGATACATATTAAAAATAAATAGTATATTTTATTTTACATAAAAATAGTACCTAAAAAAATGAGAAATAAAATAGTATCCTTTCAACCGAGACTTAAATCTGATTTACTAAAGAGTGACAATGAAACGTAATCTTTTTCACCACCAACATAATAATACATAATTTATTCAAAAGTATAGAAAGAAAACTATAAATAAGTCATATTTAATATTATTTTGTTTAAAATAATTCACATCAGATATAATAAGATAAATGGAAAATATCAAAAACTAAAGGTGGCTACCTTAGCATCATTAGTATTATGATTCCTGGAGAAGGGGTAGAAAGCTCCGAGCTGCATCCATCGTTTGCACAGCTCCTCAGTGGTATCGCGGTTGAACCCACAGATGTCCGCGCCCATCATCGGAATTCCGAATAAACTGAAGCTCAACAGCTCTGCAGATGGAAGCAATGGAAGTTTTAGCAGTATAAATATTCCTACAATGTAATACACGGACCTCATTGGTGTGGTAGTCGGCTGGCGCGTATTGCTATTGGTCAGTGAGTTACACATCTCAGAAACGGTCCTCTGATCCCAAACTAGACAGAGCCTGTGCTATGGTAACCAGACTGCTGATAAACATACTTATATATTTCTAAATACATACATATTATAGATAACTTGCTCATCACACAATATTTGTTCTGGGTGGGAATCGAACCCACGACCTCCGGTTTAGTAGTCAGGATGACTAACCACTAGACCAACAGGCCCGTCAAGCTATTTTCAATGTAATGTTGATACTTTAATGTATTGATGTCCGCTAAAAGTTACCAGAGTACCCCCTCCCCTCCTAACTTTGGGGAGGGAGATAGATTTAAAGGTTGATATTGTGTCGGTTGTACACCATAAAACCATTTAAATTGTATATACCATAAAAAGCGAAGGCCAGTGCTTTAGAGTAGAGAGGAATGGAGAGTGAGCAGTACGTACCAGGTAGGGTCATGCGCATGTCGTGCCAGTCGCTGGCGATGTCCCCGCTCCAGTGGCCGCCGTAGCGCCCGAAGCCCACGAACGTCGCGCGGGAGATTATGAACGGACGCTTGCCGCGGATCTCCGCCAAAGCACTACAACAGAATAAAGCATAATGATATTAATTTTAATGTGTAATATCTTTCTTCAAGCTTTCTAGCAAAACGTGCGAATCATTTCATGAAAAGGGACGAAAATGTGTAACAAGACGAGACACTAAGAAAGATATCTTTAATACATTATTATATGAAAAAAAAGTGTTCTTTTAAAACAAATATAGTTCATATTTGGATTACTTAATATTTATTATGGTGAATAAGAATAGAAAATTGATTTTTTTAAGCCAATAAGTGTGTAAAGTCAAAAAAATTGTGATCTGATCTGATCTGTCATGTCATACAAAAGTGTATACAATGACAGTCGAAGTTATACCGGTGAGTGAAAGGACCGGCACGCGATGTCGCATGCTTACAAGTGTGTGGCGATGGCCTCGGCCGTGGCGTAGAGGTTGTGCAGGTCGTAGTGGTCGGCCAGGAAGTGCTTGGCGTCCATGCACAGCGTGTGCGTGTGCAGGTGCGGGTCGGAGGTGCGCGGGCGGTACGGCACCGCCTCCGCAGCGCACGCGCCCCCCACCGGCGCCTCCACGAAGTTCGACGGCTCGTTCATGTCCTAAACACACAAGTACCTCGTTCTCCTATACTTAATACATACTTGTGGTTATTTTGAACTGTATTATTAGTAATCGACCAGTGATGTAATAGGAAGCGGTCGATACGATTTAAAATAATAGTCGATTAAAAAAAAACGATTCGAGTGACATTCACAAGAAAATGCCCAGAAAGGAAATAGACGAACAGTATAATACAGTAATATTTCTTTACTTAATTCAAGAAAATGCCCAGAAAGGAAATAGACGAACAGTATAATACAGTAATATTTCTTTACTTAATTTGAAAAGGAAAATCGATTACTAAATATATAATAGGTGGTGACGGATTAAGAATACAGAGTGTCACCACCCCTATTCATCCCGTGGGTGTTGTAAAGGGCGACTAAGGGAGCAAACTACGCAGGACAACAGCACTGCAGAGAGAAGGAAAACTTGACACAAACCCTATACCAACCCGTCTGGCCAGCGTGGTATAGTAGGCCAAAACCTCCTTTCTAAGGAAAGGCCTATGCCCAGCAGTGGACTAGCAAAGGCTGTTGATAACTAATAGGAGTCAAGTGAATTTAATTCGAAATAAGATATCACTGTTTTTGAATAAATAAATAAATAAAAAAAGTTTAATTACAGAAAAACATAATATCGTATAAATTAGGTGAAGAAATCAAAGTAATTAAGTAACTCACAATCCAAGCGCCATCATACGGCACTTGCTTATGAAATTCGGTCATCATCTCCACCCAGTAGCTGGTAGCGTTTGGGTGAGTAAAATCTGGGAATACTGTATGACCTTTATTCCACACCTGAAAACAAATAATAACTTGTGTGTTATTTAGAACTTATTTTAAATTAAGTAAAAAGACACCACAGCAATCACCTTTTCATATTTTATCAAAACTGACCTGGCCAACGAATATCTGGTTGGTGGCATTCTTGACAAATATGTCCATTTCTACCCCACGATCATAGGGGGGATATGTGTTTGGCGTTAAGGACTCTCCTATACCTGGATCTAAAATATCAAAGGGTAATAATACCATATATTTATTAAATTCTTATTTTACATTTACCTTGCAAGTACAAATATATTTTTAAGACAGTATTTATCTTCTCATCTCTCACACTGTAGTAATAATAATTATATTCTACCACATTCACACAACGCCATCTACTCCCAAACTAATGGGTACTATGGGTACTAGACAACTGATATTAATACACATATACTTTGTTTTGTAAATACATACTTATTATACATAGAAACACCCAGACCAAATCAAACATTAAATGTTCATGCACACAAATGTTTGACTTGAGCAGGAATCGATCCCGCGACCTTTAGAATAGCAGTCCGTTACACAAACCACTAAGCCATCCGGTCGTCCATTAGGGTAGTTTATTTACTTTTCAAACCGAGTCTGTCGCAAACAAGCATGCGCCTTATGGTATGGTTGTTTTCATCAAATATGTTTGGTCAGTTATTTTACTACTTACTTATTTGACACTATATCAGTAAAAAAAATGAAAATTATTCGATACATAAAACTACTACCATATAAAATGTTTTTATTATAGATGTTTTTATATGAATTGTTAGAGAAAACATTAAAAATTGAAGTTTGACATATTTCAGAACAGTTAATATACTCGTATGTTTATATGCATACGAGAAAACAGAAGTAGAAGTTTGCAGAACTAATTTCCATTTTGGCTTTGGCTGGATAAAATCTAATTTAGTGAACATTTAATAAACAGCTATTATTATTCGTATGTTATGACCGTACACTTATGACCTTAAATATTACAAAGCAAAATCAAGTAACAATGATCATAGTAATACTTACCAATAATAATAACATAGTGCATTCCCTCATTGTGTACTTCTTTAACAAATTCGGGTAAACCGGCAAAATTCACTTTGTCATATGTGAAATCGTTGTGGTCGCTCATGTAATCTATGTCGTTCCATTGCACGTCCTGAGAACATTGTGATAAGAAAGTTTAAAATGGAATTTGTCCTTATAAACGTCCAAATAATTTATAAACATTTTTAAGAGTTAGAGTCAATTCAAACAGTTCCTTGTGATGATAGTTACCTGTTTCAATATGTGGATCTTATGGAAAAGGTCAGACTAAGAGCCCCAAGAAAATAGTTTCGTCTGACACCAATACGATATGGCTGCAGGGTACAGGCTCCTTTGGTGGGCTTACCAAAATGTGTTAAAAATAATGTTATTATTTATGTCATTTTGGGAACACCTAGATTTTCCTTTCCCAAAATACCTGTTCTCCTTTGAAGACATGTTGCAATGTTTTTGAGGCATTTTTGGCGCAGTTCTTTTTTTGTAATGATGGATAAAAAAGCACTTACGAAAGGTATACCAGCATCTCTGTTAGCTTTCCACACGCGTCGCGTTTCGTTCACTGAGCCATAGTTAAACCTGAACATTAAAAGTTTTTTTTAACACACCAAAAATATCGCCAATCCCTATTAAAAATGTATGATCTGTATATCAGCAATTTTACAGGAGAGCGCGTCAAAGTTTAAAATTGCTTAATTTATATATATATATATATATATATATATATATATATATATATATTTACTTTGTTTACATGGCTATTTCAAAAGCTATGAGGAAAAACTCGACTTCTCGTTAAAGCTGCTGCTGCCTAAACATTGCCTTTTTAGGTCAATAGTAAAATAAAAACAAAATCAAGAAAATTGCATATCCGACCCTCCTAATAGGGCCAGGCGATATGTTGCAGATCACACAGAAGACCTTTTTATTTAAGCGATGTGATTTGTTGGCGTGACAAGGGCACTGGACAGAATTTTTCCAAAGGCATTTTTCTTACCCATAAAACTAGCTTTTGCTTGCGGCTTCGCCCGTAAAAGTAACCTATGTTACTCGCTGATAATGTAGCTTAAATTTTCAAAATCGGTTTAGTGATTTAGGCGTAAAGGCGTAACAAACAAACAAACTCACTTTCACATTTATAATTGAAGTATGGAAGTATGGATGTTTATTAGCAGACAGGTTACCAAAGTACGGGCTCTGCCTATTGTTCTGTGAGATGTGTGAGGTTAATTATTATTTGTATTCGTCGTTCGCGTGGAATTTGAAAGCCTTAGTGGGTTTGTACACAGACACACAAATACACAGACTATTTGTACCATACCTGCTAAGATGGAAGCCAAGCGACCAATAGGGTGGCATGAATGGCCGCCCCACCAGCTCCGTGTACTGCGCCACCACCTCCTTAGGAGAGGGGCCCATGAACACGAACAGATTCAGTATGCCGCCGATGGTTCGGTATGTGATACCTGGAGTCGGCTGCAGGACAATATCTGTACAAATATGACACAATTGATATCATCAAAACTTACAGTAAAATTTTTAACAAATAAGGCTGAGATTACAATACATAATACGTGTTATTCTAAACTACTTTTTTGTTTATGCGGATGGATTAGTGTGAAGCAAGGTGCAAGGATAAACAGTGTGTCCATACCCATAGCGTTAGAATTGATCAGCAACATCCCATGACTTTTGCCGTCATGCTCCACAGCCAGGTAGAAGGGATGAGTGCCGTACAGGTTGACCTAGTGAACAATTATTTATAAACTTACATTTTAGATGTGTAAATCGAAACTAAATCACAATTATAATTGCAATATACAATATCGAATATAATTGATCGATCGATCGAATTCATCGATTATAGTCGAAGGACCACATGTTGTAATTATTATTGCGGTTAGTCCCGATTTGAACATCTTATTACCAAGTAAACATTCAGGTTAGTTAGTCTATAAAACGTTTTCATATGGCCGATTTTAACTATTAAAAGCAAAACAACTAATATTAAAACAAACAAAGGCCGGCTACGCGCTTGTGACTTAAAACTCAAAATCTCTTTATTTCATAAAACTTTAAAAATGTTTGAAATCGTCTTTTATGTAGACTCTAAAGTCATAGATCAACACACAATAGCAACAATCTTTGTCAAATAGTTGGCAAAATAAATTTATCAAAAGTTATACTTATACAAAATGTATGACATGCCTGTGCCGATCTCGAACCGCTCGTTTCCAAGATGTTGAGCCTTATGAGAAGAAAGGGCAAACAAAGTCATGGCCACTGTTGGAATTTACAGATAGCATCATTGTTTTGATGTGTGCCAGTATGTCCGTTATTAAGTTACTAAAAGGTAAAAGTTTTGAGTTGCAGGCGTTCACCTTGTGGTAATAACTACCGGGGTAGTCACCTAGAGCTCAAAAGTCACAAGTGCATGGCTATCTCACCCTCCCGCCATAATTAGAATGGGGGGGGGGGGGGGTTTGGACTTCGATAATCTCACGCGTGACAGCGGTTTTCTGTGAGACCGTGGAAGCACTCCGGTAGAGTGTTTGTTTATTTACAAAACTCATTCACTTCTGTAATACTATTCTACCGGGTGTTACAGAAAAATCTTGAATTTTAGTAAAAAGACCCGCAATACGGTGTGGAAATATTGTATTCTGCAAGTGCGGAGAATAACGAACACTAAAAGCGTATTATTATATTGTGACTAGATAATAGCTATCACCGTTCGGTGTGTTAATTTAACTGAGTCAAGAAGCCCGTTTTATAACAATATTCATGCATACACAAATGTTTTATATCATTTACACAATTGTAAGTTATTTTTTTACTTACATCTTCAGTGGGAGCTCTGTCTCTATTGAACAGAGCGAAGGTGTTCCAGTTGACGTTGTTCATGAAACGCGCTCGCTTCTCACCCAAACCGAAAATGTGACTCGACGACAGCACCGCTGATATTTGTAAGAACTTATCTGAGAGTATTAGTCCGCCTATGTCTTGAGTATTTATACTGAAAACATACATTTAATATTACTTCAATTTTTGGAGTAATAACTTGTTATGGGAGGCTAAACCGCTTCGTTACGTAACGCGTTACGGCGCCAGTCTGTCTAGTTTCCCCTTTTCTCACGCATACAGCAGCGGTACGCAGGCTTCTCCTCTCTCGCTCTAACCCACAGCGCTAGCCGTATTTCGGACAGACGGATTTACATAAAATTTAGGTAATAACCTAAGCTTTTCTCAAGTTAAACAATTAATTTAAATATTAAACTTGTTGCTGGAATCCCTTTAAATCTGAAATACTTGCATCATTAGAAATTATTGTCACCTCTATAACAAGATCAGAGTGATCGTTTTAAGCGAATCACATATAGACATCGTTTTTTTTGACACTGGAAAATCCCATCGTATCTCCGGTTCCTCGGGGACATAGGAGCCAGGAGTATGTGGTGTTGCCACTAAAAATCACTCCGATAGTCGGTCTCAGGCGCCCTACTCTGAGGAGGACCCGGACTATTATATTTCAGGTCCTCCCGCGGATCGAAACCACCCCAAGCAGGCTTCTCCCTGCCTATCGGCCCAATCAATATATATTGCGGCTCGATCGCATTAGCTTTAAAAATAACTTACATGGTAACATTGTCAGAATTCCTGATGATTTTGAAGCCGACGTACGACATGTCCACTTGGACCCTATATTTGGTGCGGGACAGAGGCTTTGGTACCATCACAATCTCAGGCTGCGGAGGCTCGAACCTTTTGTGTTCAGCATCGTATATCTACGAAATTAAAAATACAGAAGTTATAACACCTGGCGTAATGGTTTTAGCGGTCGCCACGCTACTTCCTACTGCGCTGAGTGTTGTAGTTTCGATCCCCACATGGGACGACACTTTGTGTGATCCACAAATTGTTGTTCTGAGTCTGGGTGTTTTTTTTGTCCATTTCATATATGTTTGTAAAGTCCCCCGCGATACAGGATGTGTACCTAATGCGGAAGTTGTCTTTTAAAAGAAAATATAACTTAAACTACGACGAAGAATAAAGTAGTAAAAGTTTATGCTTTGTAAATAGGCAAAGGCAAAAAAGATTACATAACCTTTTTTCAATTTTTTCTTTTGTAGTTGGTATTGATGAGCTTCATTTTACACACACACACACACACACACACACACTCACACACATACACACACACCCTAAATTGCAAGTGTGCATAAAGGCACACGAACAAACTTATTGTTGCATATTGTAGTTAATTTTAATATTATGTAGCGTAAGTACTACTCTTTAGTGAGTGTATTGTACATTGAGGAGCGCTGATAGTCGAAATACAGGCTCCGATGAGTTCGACTACCACGTATTAAAAGACGTATTAAAAATGAAATGAAAATATTTTCACCAATTAAAACATATTTTTTTTAAATAAATTTCGGTCGAATTTCAACTTTAGACGAGCAGATGAAGTCAAGTAGGAAAATATACAAAATTTCTTACCTTAATCTGTAAACAATCGTCAGACAAATATTTGATATCCATCCGAGCCACCTCAAAGTCCCCAGGATATCCGGATGGACGAACTTTCTCCATGTAAACATTCATGCCATGTTTGTCTTCCGTCATGTTTATGAAGTGAAACGAGTCGTAGTGTGAGGGATAGAAGCAGTAGGGGACACCGTGGGTTTCTGTGGATTTCCAGCAACAACCTAGAAATAATATAAACGAATTTTGAATAGGAATCACCTCTGCGTTATGTTTTACTGATCGACTGATTTTTGAGACGTGTTGATTATGTTGTATACCACTCAAGTGAAAAACAAATATAACAAATACCTGTTGTAAAAGTCAATACACAACTCACTAATGGTAAGTGACCACCGCCTCCTATTAATTAATAGTGGGTGAGGGGGGCGGATCTGATTATGACGTCATAATAATAATAAAAAAGTCATAGTAATAATCATGGCCGCCAGCAGGGGTGTGCAAGGGGGTCCACTTGCACCCCTGGCATGCAACTTGCACGTGATAGTCCGTAGCCCTCGGCGCACTCACACAGACTCAACCGCGGGGATTCCCCTAGCAATAATACCAACCATCCACTACAGAGATAAAGTACCTATGTTTTCGATGAGGTAAATATATTTATTCACCCAAGCGATTTCTATTAGACATTATATTTATCTACATAATATACATGTATAGTTCTATATTTTGTAATATTTAATAGTGCAATGTATAATTGCTGATGAAAATGCACCTTATGATAATAATACTCAAAAACGTCATAATAGTAAAAATTCTAACCTCGTTTATTACAATCCTTCTCATTGGCATTGCCTTGTGGGAAGCAGTCGAATCGATTGATCTCGTCCATTTTAGAGCACATGTCTTGTAGGAATTCAGCCGTGCGATTAGGGTACACATTCTTCTTGTTAAGCTCTGTCTTCTTGCGAGATTCCGTCGTTCCGTTTATTTTGTTCTTAGTGCTCAAGTTGTTGTGGTCGTGGTAACGATACTCAGGTAACTGCTGGATTGAAATGAAAATCAGAAAATTAGTAGTTCTATATGAGATCCGTTTTAATGAAATGTCAGAACAGCTAATTAGATAAACAATAATATATGATTAAAGACTGGAATATTTGTATTATTTAAAAAAGTACAAAAATCGTGTTTAGCGTACGTCCATAATATTAAACTTCATTTTACACCAACAAAATTTTAACAATTGATATTATACATCTGGTAAATATGTATGTACAAAGGGCCGCCTTATCACTAATTGCAATTCATTGCAGAGAAGATTGGCTAGAAAAAGAAGATATTAAATAGGTGATATAAAGTATATTATTATATGATTTAGTAAAATTAATTTATAGCCTACTAGCGATCCGCCCCGGCTTCGCACGGGTGCAATGTAGATACTACTAATACTACTAATGTGGTGTCAGTGTGGAGTAATTAATTATATTATTATTATGATAAGACTAGACTACAGGAAATCTTCAAATGCAATATTTATAGGCCCGCCCGACACGGACATGCGGCTCGAGGCTTTGGGCCCCCGCATTTTAAACCTCTAAAACTTCTAAAATATACATTTTAATAATGTGCTGTAAAGAGCAATTTTTATCTACATTAAATGCACAATGTATCTAACGTATTTAACTGGATAAGGAATAATAATTTATTGTTTAAAATAGCTTCATAAAAAACCCATTTTTTTTTGTAATATTTAAAAGATAAAAATGGTTACGGTCGGTTATCCTTAGAAGATAGACATACACGATTGCGGGTTTTTTTGTAGATCTTTTTAAGATCTACAATTTCGTTGTACATTATTTGGGTCTACCTCGAAAGGTATAGCCAGCGTTTGTAATGCATTAAAAGCCGCTGCTTAGTTTTAAAGATTTAAGCATACAACACAAAAAGCAACTTTATTTAATACTATGTAAAGATTTTATGTCAGAGAGCAAGAAGTCGTATGGGACACTAGGTGTCTTACACGAATTCCATTTATAATACATCATCATCATCAGCATCAACAGCCTTTAATAGTCCACTGCTGGACATAAGCCTCTCCTGAGAAAGGAGGTTCTGGCCTACTATACCACGCTGGCCAGACGGGTTGGTAAAGGGTTTGTGTCAAGTTTTCCTTCTCTCTGCAGTGCTGTTGTCCTGCTTAGTTTTTTCCCTTAGTCGGCTCTTACGACACCCATGGGATGAATAGGGGTGGTGACACTCTGTATTCTTAATCCGTCACCACACGGACCGTACGTAATACAGTGTAAGGAATTTTGGGACGCCAAAAGAGGATTATAGAGATAAAACATTGCTTTTAAGTGTAAAATCTGTGTGGCACCATCTCACCACCATGTCTCTCATGTCCACCACCACTTTTCCCTCTCTATTCTTTAATCTGTCAGAACCGTCAAACGGTACCTCTTAGATTAGATGGACTATAAATACCTATTTGAGTATTGTTCATCAACAGCCTATACTAGTCCACTGCTGGACATAGGCCTCTCCGTAGAAAGGAGGTTTTGGCCTACTATACCACGCTGGCCAGACGGGTTGGTACAGGGTTTGTTTCAAGTTTTCCTTGTCTTTGCAGTGCTGTTGTCCTGCTTAGTTTGCTCCCTTAGTCGGCTCTTACGACACCCACAGGATGAATTGGGGTGGTGACAATTTGTATTCTTAATACGTCACTACACGGACCACTGAGTATATAACTGAGTATTGTTAACATTTATAAATCTAATCCAAGTACCTTTTCATATGGCAATGGTGACAGTGGCTTTTTTATTGTATCCGGGTGAGTCCGTTCCCATAGCTTTCTGTAAATGCAAAATCAAAATATTACACTATCTAAACATCTGTTAATAGATTGGATATGGATTTAACGGATTACGTGATTGAAAGATAATTTTTTTGATTGATGATTGAAAAATAACCGCCAAAACCAGAAAACCAATTGGTTCCAGGATTGGAACAAAGGTTTGGTCAAAATTCAGTTTCAATCAACTCTCGATCTCGCAACTGCCATAAAAGGCAGATTACCGATTCAATTTTCGGTCACAATACGATATGATCACATTACAGTCAACGTTGCGAAAATACCTTTTAGAACATTTGTGAGATCGATAGTTTATCGGTACTGAATTTCGACCGAACTTTTATTACGAGAATTGGCCTTCTGGATTTCAAGAGCCACGATGCCTTTACTTATAGATACATAGACACGCAATTTTCTTCTAATTATAAAAGTGCGATCAAACATTTATTGTGATGTGTTTTAATAATTTGAAAGATAATATCTTTGTAACATTCCTTGCATTCTTTAATTTAGTCTCATTCTTACTTGTTCCAAGTGTACACCTGTGGTGTACAACCCAAATCCCCAAACAAACCCAGCATTAATTCCGCCTTATGCAATAAGTTTTGCAGGAAGTCTCAATAAATAAATATCTTAAAGCTGAAGATGGTGTATTAATTTCTACGAAAACTTGACTTGGATCAATTTTGAATTGATCCAAGTCTTCAGAGCTTTCGCAGAAATTTTGAAATTTCGATGAAATATAATAATATGTGATACACGGGTCGCCATTTGTAGTTCCTAAATATAACGCTGGATGGATTATTTAATAATGTATCAATCTGTTAAGGCCCCTCCCGCCAAGGTAAATCAGATCTTTAAGTAGCACTTTATTTAGTACAAGTACTACTACTACTACTTTGTAGTATTTCAAATATACATATTTAACTTGTATTATTTACCTGTAGTGTTCTTCTCCCCAAGTACCACCAACAGCGCCACCTACAACCCACCACGCTCCAACACACAACGCGCACACTAGCGCCACACCCAACATTCCCGACCCGACCCCGGGGAGAATGTCCCATATACGTTGACAGATATTTCGCCGCTCTGAGAAGCGTTGGTATCTGTAAATTGAAAAAAGATTAGAAGAAAACAGATATTCAAAGCATCAATGTCTCGATAAAATATCCGGATTAGGTATACGCATAATAACTTACGAAGGAATCACGGAAATATAGGCACAGAAGATAATCATAACCCTCCTTCTGGGGGGTACAAATATAATGATAATAAATTCACACATCTCACACACGGCCGTCTGATCCCAAACTAGGCATAGCCTGTGCTATGGTAACCAGACTGCTGATAAACATACTTAAATATGTCTAAATACATATATATATTATAGATAAATTACATCCAGGCCCAAAACAAATTATCGGGCTCATCACTCAATTATTTGTCCTGGGTGGGAATCGAACCCACGACCTCCGAAGGTCCTAGCAGTCAGGGTTACTAACCACTAGACAAGCAGGCCCGTCTGAAATATGTTATAATAAATTGTATAGTTCGTTCGTTAAAGTTCAGGCACAGTTAAATATTATCTATACATTTATATACAGTACTCGTATTAATACCTGACGAGCATTATTTGTTTGTATTTTTGAAGCAAACGCCACTGACAATTATAATTTTTTTATGGAGTTGATACTTTAGGTATGTACACTCGAAAACAAATAATCCGGGTCACAAAAAGTTATCTGAAAATTGGAGCAACTAATAATGGTAGCTTGGTGAACAATATTGTTTTAATAGACAAATTAAATGCTCTTTAAATAAAAGTAACACAACTTATTCATCAATCATCAATTCATTTTCATAAAAAAATGAATGATTTTTAAGTTGTTCTGGGCATATCTTAGTCTCGACATAACACACTAGTATGCACTCGGACTACTCGGCCTCCTCAGAATATGTAGCTAGCTGGTCCAAAAGGTTTTAAATTATATTCAGAAAGTAATGTATTTATGAAAATTCAAAACGGTTCAATCTTAACCGCGGGCGATCCCTACTGCTGATGGAAACCTCATCGCGTTTTATATTAACAGAGAAATGTTTGGCTGTTACTGGCGCTACTAACAATCTTATTGATGAACCATATTGTTAACTAATTCAAACAACAAATAAACTAACCCGAACATAAATTAAATATCAAAGGTAACTTAAAACTACGATTGCCTACTTAAGTTTTTTTAAACCTACTTGCATAAAGGAAAATGAAACGAACAAGGCAAAATTAATACATACTTCTTCATGGCCATATCTGATTTCCAATATCCACTCTTGCTAGTTATTAATACATTCACGCAATAATAAGAATAACACAAGAACTCAGGCTGAGACTCGACCGTTGTTTCGTAAAATAGAACACAAGACAACAACTTTATATGAGAAATATATCAATCAAAGTTCATGATTGCATTATAGAGAACACAGACGATAAACAAAAACAGAATAGATACCACAAAATATTGGTTTCCTATGCACTTTATCACTTGATATTGTTCAAATATGAGTAACCTCTTAAGGCATCTATGTAAGCAGTAATAGCATATTAAGTACGACATTCTGTATATAATTATGAAACCTACTGTTACGGTGCTTGAACATAGTCATATTTCGTCGTTTTTATATTTAAAATATCCATATTAATATGATAATTTCTTTAGAACATTATATGAGCATAATTTAAAAGTAAATTGGTAGAATAAATAGTTACTAGGGTCAAAAACCTTGGTAGCTTATTAATACCAGTTATATTAATATAATACCTAATAATAACTAAAGACATTTCATACACGGCTTTCCTAAGATCATTACAATAAAACGAAGCCTGAGTTATAAGAAGAAAGAATCGTGTTCATTACACGGGTTACTCCGACCCTCGACTTCGGCCACAGAAGTCAGTCAAGAATCACTAGAAAAACAATTCATTCAATAAAATCATTATCATCAAATTATTGCAAAATACAATGTTTTTTTCATTCTTTTTCTATTTCGGTTTTTATACACAGCCTTTTAATTATTGATTAAGGGAAAAGGGTCCCAAGAGAGCAGAAGACGCTGCTTCAATCTGTTCGTTTCACCGCCCACTTTGTATCTGTTTAAGCTGGAAGGGGACAAATCTATATAATTTATCGAAAGCCCTAGCACGTACCCATTCCGTCACCTATACCTATATATCTACCTATCATGGACCCGGGCGCCTTCTAGCTATAAACCCCGACTTGTGTAAACTTATCTGAACAAATTTACTTACAGAAATAAATATCACTTATATTATATATATATAAAAATTACAACTGTCAGTTCTACGTAGGCTGTCAGTAGCTTACAAATAGGCCTTATACACCATCGTTTCATAAAAGAAACAGCCTCTTAAAAAATCACTATAACAAAACAAGGTACCAGATGATACCATGAACGCCTACAACTCAAGAGTCACAAGCGCGTTGCCGGACTTATGCACGAACGTAATTGCCTGTTTTTTTGAAGTGAGAATAGTGTGTAATTAAGAATGTCAAGTAAACGGAAACACAAACCACTAGATTTACACATTTAGACATTTGAAAGATAAAATAGACATTTTAATGAAGTTAGATAGTGGAGAAAACATGTGCAAATTGGCAAAAGAATATGGTGTTGGGTGTGCTACTATACACGATCTTATGGAAGGAAAAAAAAAACAAAAGATAGGAGACCACGTGAAGACAATGGAATCTGGACCAGGAAAGCGTAAAACATTAAGAGTTAGAGATTGTCCAAAGATGGAAAACGCTTCCTACATGTGGTTGATGCAACGGCGTTCTAAACACACTCCTGTATCTAGAGAAATCCCAAAAGCAAAAGCAATCGAATTTTATAAAAAAATTACCAGAAAAGATGATTTTCCTGCCAGCGATTCTGGAACGCACAAATTGGATTTGTTAGTGATGTGTAAAGCTAAAAATCCCAGAGCTTTCACAAACATTTATCTGCCAGTGTGCTACAAGAACCAATTTAAAAGTTGGGTCATGTGAGAGGTATTTAGCGAATGGTTTCATGAAGAATTTGTCAGAAAAGTCAAAAAGTTTATGAAAAGATCCAACTTGGTGAACTCCAACCCAAATGAACAAGAACTTAAATCAAGTTATAGGAATATCAAAAACATCTTCCTACCACCAAACTGCACACCTTCAATGCAGCCGATGGATCAAAATGTTATCCTTAAAGTAAAGTCCTTGTATAAAAATAAATTGCTGATCCATATTATATCTGAGGATGGTGACATAACGCAGAGCCTTAAAGAATTGAATTTGAAGGATGTTGTATTCTCTCTCGCTCACGCTGTGGAGTCTGTTTCATCTGACTTAATAAAATTTTCATTGAAAAAGTTATGACCTACGTACACCTTGACATTGACCTTTCCTAAGAAAGGAGGTTTTGGCCTTCTATACCACACTGGCCAGAAGGGTTGTTATAGGGTTTGTGTCAAGTTTTCCTTCTCTTTGCATCTCTATAATGTGTAATTTAAGGACTGCTAAGATTGTCAACTAAAGTACAGAAGACAAGTATCTACAGGTCATAATTTTATAATCAATTGATCACTGTCTTTAAGATACAGAACATTCCTAATTTGTTTTTGTACTCTCCATAAGTATCAAACATAAACTGTGGTTCTTACTTTGTAAACTGTAATCCTTTTTGTTCAATTCAATTTTTTTTTAAACAGATCAGATAGTGAGCTATGTTTTTTTTTAATGACATCCTTTTATTAGTGTGCACATTTAATAGTGCCAAATTAATTCTTATCAGATTAAATACTTTTAGTGCTTTTGATAGTTGAACTTTTTCAAATTTATGACAAAGTTTGTATTTATGACTGTAAACGTTTTGTTGAAAATACACAATGATGTCATCATCATTGTGATCAACAATGATGTCAATTTACAACAATATAAATTTTAAACATATTGTCCACTTTTTAAGTAAAAATATTTACCTAGAAGAGTTCAGTTATTTCAAAAAGGAATTTCTTAAGCTAATAGCGTTAAAAAGGCTTAAAAATGGGAAAAATCTTGTATAAAAATGCATAAAATGTATTTGAAGTTCATTCAGCATTGGATGAAGCAATCATCTTATTTTCACATACCTGTGTTCTCTAGACGTAGATTCTTCATTTCTTGATTTGGGTATAACACCACTGAAGAGCGGAGCCCTGCCTGTTTTAGCATTATGTCTTCCGAATGGAGCAAAAGAATTTGATAACTTCCTTTTAAAAGTGACACTCTTGGGCCCGTTTAGAGAGGTCTCCGTCTGTCTGTCTCCGCTCTGAGAACTTTCACCCTCGGGTTCCGCCGATTTCGTAGTTTTATCGTTCTCATAACAAAGACGATAGTTAATGTTATCATTCAGAGTCAATAAATCAGTTTTAGAACCAGGAGATTTATCACAAAAGTCTTCAAATGAAACGATTTCATAATCCTCGTCATCTTCGCCCGATTTTTCTGGTTTATATGGTACTTTCGGCATACTGTTAAATATTCCCTAGCTACGACGCAGGGAATCCATATGAAGAATAAATCTAATTTTAGCACTTTATTATATCATGAGTTCAAGGAATGAACTATATGCAAGACAAGTTAAATGCAGCATAAATATCAATACGCACGATTAAAATATCAATAGTGTATAATATTATACAATTTTTAATTCACAAAAAATTCAATAAGTTTGTTATTGTTGTTATTTTAATAACACTGCCCATGTTTGTAGTAGGCACAGGCATCTGATATGATTCGGGCTAGTTTAACAATAGTTTGATTTTATTCGTTCTTTGCAAATACGTAATTTTTTGAAATAAATTATTTTTTAATTATGTGTATATAAATAACAATTTCTGTTTTTTTTCCATGTTTTTCTTTCAAATAGTTATTACGCGTCAGAATTATTTCATTTTTTAAGTTAGTTTTGAGGGTAGTCGGAAATTAATAATTCACATATTGTCACAATTTTATTTTAATGCTATGCGTGGACAATATGGTGGACTGTAGATAACTAAAATATTTAATTTATTAATTTGCCTTGTCGTTGTTAACGAATGTTTAAGTTGTGATTAACATGGATTGGAAAAATACGAAAATGTTATTGGTGTCTACGGCAACAATTTTCGTCGCTTCCCAAGTAGCGAAAAAGGTTTATAGATATTACTTGGATTTCAAAAGATCTGGCACTCCTGAGACAAATAACAACGACTCCTCCTGCAATGAAGTCTTAAGTATAAAAAACCGAGAGATAAATGATGTGATAGTATTCTCCGATGATGTCGTTCGGCACACTATAAGGGTGGCACCTAATAAAGATTTAACCATTTGTGAAAGTAGGGAGCTGAATTGCTTCAAATTAATTAAATACATTAAGTCAGCACGTGAAACGTTAGACGTGTGCATGTATTTGATTACCAGCAGTGAAATAGCAGAGCAAATCATAAGGCTTGGACAAAAACACGTTTTAGTAAGAATAATTGTTGACAGCGATATGGCTTTTACACCTCCATCACAGATAAGAAAATTGAAAGAATACAGTAAGTTGCATTATATTACAAAATTCAAATAAAAATTTAAGTATATGAGTGAATATAATGAATATGTAAAATTGTCAAGGTACTACTAAGTCACGTTTATTTCCAAACCTTTCGATTAAACTAATGACGTTAAGTAGTCCACATGTACGTACTCGTATATAAGTAAAAAGTTCATAGTTTAATAATATTTCGCTTAAATTCCATCTGTCTAATTTTACACATATTGCTAGAACACGTTTTAAATCACAAAATTCATACATTTTAATCAATATTGTTTCAGGTTTCATCCAAGTACAAACAAACAAAAAATCTATTTTGATGCATCATAAGTTTTGTGTCGTTGATGGTCCAAGAGCTATAGCTAGAAAATGTGTCCTAAAAGCTTATGCGGAAAAATTAAATGTCAATCCACAACCTACTAAAACTTATGTTAAACCACCTATCAGAAATAAGCAAATAAATGGATTTGTGATGTCTGGTTCATTAAATTGGTCAACCCAGGCGATGGTTTCAAATCATGAAAGTGTTATAGTTACATCTCATTCAAATATAGTAGGAAAGTTTGAGAAAGAATTTGAAAGTTTGTGGGTGGAGAACGACCCGGTACGTTGTATAATCTTTAAAAATTATTGCTTTTATCACGTTTCATTATAGAACTCTACTTATCTGTTAATGTTTAAATTTCAGGCTTTAATGACGACAACGAAATAATAAAATCAATTTTTACCATCCAGATGTGTGTTATCATAAGTACTACGGTAAGACACTTTGAATTACATTTTAGAGATATCTTAACACTTGACAGGTATAACTATGTTTCAACATTAAATTTTAATCGGCTTTAGTTTGTGTGTAGGTATATTATCATTGAACCTTGCAGTAATAAGATTGTTAATTTCTAAATCTCACACAGACATTTTCTAGTTTCGTACTTACTTTCGAACTTATTTAATATTGAAGGGGTATGAATACCCCTTCAATATTAAATAAGTTCGATTTCTTTAAAATTATTTTTGTGTTCTTTCATTCAATCATTCAAATAATTCCATAGACCACGTGCACTATTTTGTAGTGTATTTTAAAGAAGTTAATTATATATATAAAGAAAACTTATATTACATCAGAATAAAATGCTCTAAATAATTTACTACTGAAGGTTTATAGAATAATCAAATTTAATTTAATTTAAATAGAATTTATTATCAAAATTTGCATTTGACAGATGTCAATTTTTTTTACTGCACCGATTTTCACAAATGACAGAAGTCAACCATAGACTAGTCCATGTGCACTTCAATTTCGATCGATCATATGTTTTCTTTGTGTAGTTTTTTCAGCCGCTGTAATTCGAATTGGTTATAAAGTTCACGTGTAATATGGGACCTAAACCTTAAGTAGTCTGATCTTTTTAGTAGTTTAGCAGGTTTAAGGCCCTTTCAGTGTGTGAATTAAGTTTAGAGACAAATATTACGTGGTGCAAAATAGGCGCATTTGTATGTGCACGTGCTTGCCTTTTTCAGGCTAATTGTGAAGTTTCAGGCTGAAACTGATGTTTAAGTTTTTCTTACCTTCTTTAGAACAGTCTTTTTTTTATGTAATTTAGCCTAAACAGGCTTTAATTTTCATATTTTTCCGATTAAAAACGTGTGTTTCGAAGTGTTCGAATAAGTTTGAATTCATAGGTTGGAAAACACTTTGGTTGTTTTATTACTACTGTTTGTCGTCATGAATCCAATGAACTGGATCAGGATTTCGCTGGATGAAGTGTCTGTGGTATGTATAATGTGTAAAAAGTCTTAATTTTTTATAAACAAATTGATTAAAAAATAAAATTAATTTGAAGGGCATTCTAGAAAGGTCACACTGTTTTCATATTTTTTTGCTAAATCCTGATGATTTTTTTTATATAACCTAACAGAGTAATAACCTTAACGGACAATGGTACTAGAATTCATATAAGAACTTTAATCATGAGTGAGTAAACTGAAGATCTTTTAACATATAACTATTTATTAGCTTATTTGATGAATTAATTGAGTAGTACATATTATATAAATAGGGTAGAACTTTAATTATGAAACACTTAGCTAGAAATGCCACATAAGCAGATTATGACCACTGCTCTTTCTTTTCATTCTGAATCTTGAGCTGAAAATTTACTACCTACCTCCTACCACTGTATTCCATTTAAGCATATCTAAATACTAAGCTATTAAACCACAAATTTTGACTATTTTTATATACCATGTGCTTTTATCGGACTGTCTCTGGCCTCTAATTATACATCAAGCGGATTCATATTTTAACAGAATGCGGATTCAATATATCAAGAATCACAGTAAAATTACTAATATCAAGCACAGCCATATGTCTAAGAGTAGAATTCACACACATGTAGCATAACTAAACTAGGTTTGACGAGATATATTTAAAATTTAGGCATGTATTATGTACAAATACTGTTTCTATGCCCTCTTCCTCGCCAGTTGACCATAAGGCATGCAGAAATAAGTAGGTGTATAAATTTAAATGGTTACGAGGTACTTATTATCAGAGCACTTATGTATAGAAGCATTTAATTATCTGGTGTTTAAAAAATACTGCTACTATAAGTGATAATTAGTTAAACCACTGCTATTATGTAGTGGCAGCAGCAGTACAGTTGTAAATTAGTGTAGGAATATTTCTATTCCATCACTGCTTATAAATTAAAATAAGTACAGTTGATTTGCAGTATATGACAACAATGATAGTGCTGGAAATTGAAGTGTTTATTATTTAATTTGTTGGACTATAGAGTACTGTAATTTCCTAAACCAGAATCTACCAAACTTAGACGGGTTGGTAGTCAGGTAATAAAACATATTATTATTATTGTTTTAAGTGACTTGTTTTGAATGATTCTGATCTATTTTAGCACTAAATACTTACATACATATGTACTTAAAGATTGTAAGATTAAATCTTTATGTAGTATATGTATATAGATATATGTTAGATAATATACTTGTAAACAAAAATAATCATGAATATGTTTTATTAGTACAATAAATATTATCACTAATTTGTGTCAATCAACTGCATGCTATATTTATAAGAATTTTGTAGGTCAACAAATAAATTATGTGATGGATATAAGTACTCATCAGTTTTCGTTGCCTAACAGAGACAGCATTTGCCTGTCACTCAGGTTCCTCAAAAGTAAAAGCTTATTGTGAGATGGACCATTCCCTTTAGCCTATTAGACACTCAGGTCCAAAACGGTAATCACAATTTAGCCAACACTTAAATTTGTTGTGATAATTTTGTCCTCATCATCTTCAGAATCCCTTTATTTTTATCCTATCACAGGCAAATCTTGAGACTTATCAAATTCATCCATATGTCAATAGTGCCTTGCTCTGTTACTTAATACTCAATTAATATTTTGAGGAGTTATGATGTTTTTAACGAATACCTGCGTAAAGAAAAGTGAAGGAAAACTTGAAAAAACTGGTAATAATGTCTGGCCATAAATTTATTGCGAAAAAAGTAAAGGCTGACAGTAATGCATTCTATGATTGACAAAGGAAGAATGTCTTTTAAGTTAATTTCTTTTAGTGTATGTGGTCATTCATTTCTCTTTTGTCAAATAAAATGCTTTTGACGAGCTTGCAGTTAGAAATATCATCAATGTTGTAAATGAATTGTCAGTAGAAGATTATTATAATATCTATAATAGGGAAGTAGTGTGGAAAGATCAAAATTACAATCCCTTGCCTACTTTGCTGATGGTTTAGTTACTCCTCCTCATCACTAGTCTTATAAGCATTGACAAGACTGAAGACTATTGGAAATAATTGATTTGATAGAAGTACTATATACTAGGCAAACCTAATTCCGATCAGAATGTATGTAAAACTACGAGTAGAACAGTCTTTCTTTATTATAAACTAAAAGTAATTTCACTATACTTATCTATCTATTCATTTCACAGCTTCCAGTTCAAAATAATAAAATGTATTTTTTCTTGTTGTTTCAGATAAACACATCAAATATAAAATACCACATGTGCAAGTGTATAATTTGTGCTAAAAATAGGAAAAAAGTGAACGATTTTAACATAAATTGTGCCAACGACGGATACAAAACGTGAAAAAAATTAAAATGTGATTGTTAACAGTTTTTTGTGTTTACTAAGTGCACTTTGGATGCAGTGTTCTTCGCTAGATGGCGCTGTTGGGATTATTGCTGGGCAAGTGAGTAACTTGTTCCGCCACTCACCGCTAGGTGGCACAATCGGTATGTTGGTTTGTTGACATCTTTCGATTTTAGCACAGCGACATCTCTGATTGAATAGCACACAACATATTGTTTAGGCAGACGTTGCTAGATGGCGCTACTAATTCCAAAGCTGTGACTCAATTTTAACATTTTTCATAAAGAATTTTATATTTTTTAAACAACCGTTTTAATTGTATACCGCGTTTAATGCTCATTTGGTTTCTTTGTCAACAAAATTAAATTTATTTTAAACATGTTCCGTGTAATAATTAGCCACTTCGATAGTTAAGCCGTGACGGGTATTCATTAAAAAATCTCATGTTTGACGTGTGTATCTGCCTAACACTTTTAACGGTCAAGGCCTGTCTGGGTACGTAGCCGTGTGAAATGTTGTAAAATAACAGGTTATGCAATTCGAAATTTAAATTAGGTAGCCTTGAACCTCAGCGTTGTAAAGCACGGTTTAAACTAGGCAATATTTTAGTGTAATCCACTGAATAATGCGTTGTTCTTATTTAATAAAAAATAAAAATTAATTCAATTAAGAAGCTTCTCGAATTATAACCAAACTACATTGTTCCAACGATGATTGGTACTTAAACTAATATCTACAATAAGGTATTGAACTAAGTAAATGTATTCTTTGAATCTCAAAAGCCCTTGCTCATAATCACAAACTTTTAAATTAAAACGTTGATATAATATAAGTATCTAAGCGTTCATCCATAGACTCTTAAAGATTTTTTTAAAATCTGTTGCATGCAGTACTGCATAATAAGACCAATTAATGACGATCTCTGGTTTGTATGGCAGTTCATACAGTAGACGGATCAAGCTCTATCAACAAACTTACTCAACCATTCAACACTAAATATGCGTCCGTTTTTAAGACTGTTTTATTATCTTTATAATAATAACGGTTTCAAATGAGTTCGGCCATTGTCCCGTATGAGGTAACCAAAAGCGAACATCGTGGTGTATTAGTTTATCTGTAAATTGCTCTAATCAGATCAAAAATTTTAAGTAATGAATAAAAAGAAACTTTAAGTTACACCATTTATTTATGATGTTTGATTTTTTGGAGTTGTATCCGCCCCAAATAGCAGGATAACTATTAAAATTATTACATATTAATTATTACAAAAAAAAAATGAAGAAATTTCATTTTTTCATACTGTGTATGAACCTTAACACGAATGATGTGCAAAGCTGGTGGCAAAACGCAAGTAAAACTGCGGGGAACTACTAGTTTATGCAAATACATATACCTATATAGCTTCCGTGTATCTTTCCGTGTGGTGTCTGATTAAGAATACGTAATGTCACCACCCCTATTCATCCCGTGGGTGTCGTAAAAGTCGACTAAGGTAGAAAACTACGCTAGACAACAGCACTGCAAAGATAAGGAAAACTTGAAACAAACCCTATACCAACCCGTCTGGCCAACG